CCCACACGGATCTGAAGTGTCATACGAGAAACAGAACGGTGTGATAGGGGTGAATACATTAACAAAAGAGGCTGGTATGTTTATCAAAGCTGAAGTAAATGGTACCAAAGCAAAGATGCTTATAGACACAGGGGCGACAGTATCTCTTATTTCAAAGAAATTATTTGACAGTATGCGTTCACAATTTCTGTCACCAATGGACAGAGAGATATTGACTACCAACGGTTCTCCATTAATTCTATATGGGAAAACAATCCTTGATATTGAGATTAATGGATTTGTTTATTCGAACATAGCTGTAGTAGCAGACCTAAACGTAGATGGTATATTGGGAATAGACTTCCAAAGGAGCCATAATTGTGTAATTAATATTACTAAAAGTAGTATTTTGGTAAACGGAAGAGAGACCCGTTTACATTTTGAAGGTCAGATAGGCTGCTATAGGGTATGTGTTGCAACGACTGTAAAACGGCCTCCTACAAGTGAAGTACTGGTGTTTAGAAACATCAGAAAACCAGTTCTACCAAACCAAGAAGTTGGTATTGTAAATGCAAATAAAGGTCAGGAGTTGAGCGGATTGACTTGCTACCAGTGTACCAAAATGTTTAAGAAGTCGGCTTATCATATTAAAAGGTTTCACAGGAATAATGACGTTAAAATCGTTGAGGTATTAAGGGAACAAGACGTTTACTTTAAGGACGAACATGTGAACCCAGAAAGGTCCAACCTTTTCGATGAGAGTGAATACTCCTTAGACAGTGTAAAAGAGATGTCAGATCCCAGAGAGTCGACGAAGCTGATATAAGACGTCTCCGAAAGTGCAAGCTCCGAAAATGACGATGAGAGTCTGATACAAGAAAAGAATGATAAAGAGCCTAGTACAAATGTTAAGACTTTTGATGAAGTGTGTCTGAAAGGAAAGAGCACAAGAAGGCCAAAACGACCAGAGAAAATTGTGGCTCAAAGGCAGGAAGAATTACTTGAACTTTTGAAGTACAGAAAATATATCAGGACTGTCAGAAGTATGTTGAAAGTAAAAGAGGTTGAGGAGACAATTCTGAAAGAATTTCTATATCTGGTTGACTTTTAATCGGTTATTGCAGATAGCAATGTTTTTTTATATAAAATATTATTGTTATTTTAACTGTTGAGTTGTGTTCAAGTACACTCAGCACAGACACAAAAAATATATATGTCAAGTCCGTCGGATGGGGACTTTAAATCCGAGGTCCCATGTGCAGGGAAATGTCACGCTCTGTGCATGTAAAAAAACCCTGTAAGCCATAAGTGCTTCTTGTCGAGGCAAAATTACTTCAGAACCTATGTTTGGTTATTTTCGTTTACAGTGGCAGTCTTATTATACGAATTTTGGAGAAGCTAGGGACTAATCATTTATAAATAAAAATCAGTAGGCAGTTGCTTTGTGTTGATACAAACTGGAAAAAAAAGTATGAAAGTCATGCGAGGACGCATGAAATCGGAGGCGTGGGTAATGTGACAAAAATGCAGTTTAAGCATAAGACAATATTTGTAATTCAATGTTGAATTGTAATCCATAATCAATTACCCGTTTGAACAATGCCTTTTAAGAAAACTACATAGAAAATCATCCTTTAAGCCTTGGTTGCTATGAAGCTCGTTGTTGCTAGGGTGCTCTCCTTGAGGTCCGCGCTATTGGTATATAAAGACACCGATACATTGTGCGAGTTCGTTCATTTGTTATTTGGCTGTTGATGAATAAGCATCGGAAAGAGAATACCAGCAAATAAAGAAAATCTAACTGAGAAGTTTGTAAACCAAGTTTAAAAGTTTGAAAGCTTGTGGTTTGAAGCAAGCGGTTTAGAAGTCTTTACGATTGTTGCAAACTACCGGGTTGTTCTGAAACTGTAGTTTCCCACGGGAATGATCGCAGTCCCTCGAACAGGTAGTTTGTACTAGTCTGGTGACTTCGGTGCTTCGGAGACTAGGTGTTTCAAAACTAGATGTCTCAGGAACTAGGTGTCTCGGAGACTAGGTGTCTCAGAAACTAGGTGTCCCAGAACTAGGTGTCTCAGGAACCTATGGTTTTGAAGCTTGTCCTCTTATTGTTTATGAAAGGTTATAATTGTTGAGCAAATCGGTTGGGAACTCGAAGTCAGTGAAAGGATTAAGGATAAATTGAGGTTATAGTTTTTAGACTACTTTTTGATACAAAGTTAATTGTGTAAATATTGTTGTTTCTTTATTAAGTTTCAAAGTTTAAAGGTTGGTCTCGTAGTTTTTAGTAAAGCTCCAAGTTGTAGTTAGATTTTGAGTTAATTAAAAGATTGATATTGGAGTATCTCAGATTCTGTGAAAACGGATACGAACAGATAGTTTATAAGCCAAAAACGTTACAATTGGTCCATGTCTGTCATAAATGTTTTTCGTAAATTGTATTGTTCTAAATTATGCCGTTTGTTTTCTCGTTTAAATTGTTTCATATTTTTCATGTCGGGGCTTTTTATAGCTGACTATACGGAATTGGTGTGTCTCATTGTTGAAGGCCGTACAGTGACCTACGAATGCTTATATTTTCGTCACTGTTTGAACTCTGGTGGATAGTGGTCTCAATGGTAACCATACCACATCTCCTTATTTTCATAAAGGAAAAGGAAACAAAATATAAAAAGAAAAAAAGAAAAAGGAAAAAAAAAGGGGGGGAATCAAAATCTATGAGTTGAAGTCAAATCCAGACAAACAAAAGACGAACAACAATCAACAAATACACAGGATACAAAGATTGAGCAATTTGATTACGATTAAAAACATGGTAGCTCCGTAATTTAAAGTAGTTCGCCCTCACCTAAAGGCACCATTCGTGTTGTTAAGACAAGGAAACAATCAGATGATGAGTAACATTCGGTGATATCTCAACCAAGAATTATAGCTACGACTAATAGAACATAGCCGTATAAAGAGATGTGATAAGATTGCCAGTAAGAAAACTGTCTTTTGAATGACAAATATGTGAATTACAAATCTTCAAAAATGAGCAAATTCCATACTATGAAAAGCCCGGGGGTGACAAATGTAAAACCACTCTTATAAGGAAACCAATGTCCTGATTTATACTATAACATGAACGAGAAACAATTGAAGGAGACAACAACTAAGCATACGATTTGATATTCTTGATTCAGTGGGGATAGAATGCTCATTTTCAGCTGTTGATACTCATGTTTATTTTTTCACTCTTGTATACAATTAAAACGTCACATTAAACAAAACATGTTGTGGGGTTTAACATTTTTGCGAGTGTTCTATCATCACCATAACATGAAACAGTGGTATAACAACAAACTTTTAAGAATGAAGTGGAAAGGGCTTGATTTATCATATGGATACTTAGCACGCAATACATAATGAGAATTAACCTTGTACAATATGTCACATGTATGTATCGACAGGATGCAGTACCATAAGTAACAACTTTATATCAATACAGTGGAGATAAGGTCTAACATATCTTAAAATCTGCAGGAACGGTAAGTAGAACTGTCCTAGAATACTGTCAGTATCTAGAAAAGTTTCCTTACACCTTTAGAACAGTTTTTGATAGAAGCGGTTCTGTTCTAGAAAAGTTTTGTGCAGTTCTACCTTAGAACAGATTCTAACAGTTCTACCTTAGAACAGATTATGACAGTTCTACCTTAGAACAGATTCTGACAGTTCTACCTTAGAACAGAGTCTGACAGTTCTACCTTAGAACAGAGTCTGACAGTTCTACCTTAGAACAGATTCTGACAGTTCTACACAGAGCAGTTTTGGACTGTGTATCATTGTAAGGTACCAACAATTCATCTCACATGAGTCTTTCACACTTGTGTTAAAAATGCGTACATTATAAGTTTCGAATAAAAGTCTTTGTTGACGAAACCACGACGACGTAGCGTTATAGCATGCAAATCAAAAATCGAAACGATACTTGTTCTTTTTTTAAATTTTATTTGCTTTAATACCTAGCTTATGATGCTTGTAAGTTCTGCTTACTATTACCATGCAAAGTTATAGTGCTTCATATATGCTTTATTTAACTTATGTATTGCTATGCATTGTATGTCGGTTAAAAACTCAGTAGAGCTTATAATATGTAATGTCTTTGTTTTGTAAACCATGTCGACTCTAAATAAAGCTTATTATCATTTATTTAGAATAATTACAAGCTTGTCATATTTTAAAGAAGAAAAAATCGACCTACAAAACTCTGACAGGATATTGTTTTCCGTTTTTCCCATATAAAATACATTAAAAAAACACGAAGTTACCATCATACGGCGAGCCTGCAAATGTGAAAAAAGTAAAATAACAAAAATACCGAACTCCAAGGAAAATTCAAAACGGAAAGTCCGTTATCAAATGGCAAAATCAAAAGCTCAAACACATCAAACGAATGGAAAACAACTGTCATATTCCTGATTTGGTACAGGCATTTCCTTATGTAGAAAATGGTGGATTAAACCTGGTTTTATAGCTAGCTTAACCTCTCACTTGTATGACAGTCGCATACAATTCCATTATATTGACAACAATGTGTTAACAAAACAAACAGATATAATAGGTAAAAATGTCAAAAATAGAGGTACAGCAGTCAACATTGTGTTATAATCTTAATCACTATAAAAACACACAAATATGTCAACAAGGAAAACAATGTGAATGATATTAGACAGAAAGTAACCCAAAGAAATTTTATTTATATCGCATTCGCCAAGTTGGTATCAGACAAGCGACTCTCTTCCTTCAGTTTAACTGAATTTGAGCCAAGGCGGCCGGATGTTGATCCCCGAATCAAGAATGATGAGCCAAAATTTTCCTACAGTAGATAAAAACAACATTTCTTTCCAATATTTCAAAAAATATTTGAATCCGTTTCTTCACATTTCAGTCACACTTGTATGATTTGTCTCGTTTCTTTACGTTTCTGCCACACCTGTATGATTTGTCTGGTTTCTTTACGTTTCTACCACACCTGTATATTTCGTCTATGGTGGGACAATTTGCGTGGTGTGATTCTATTTTCATTTAAAAAACTTTTGTTCAACACATTTTAAATCTGAGACATTCGATTGTGGATATTTTCTTCCAGTGATTTAAAGGTATATATATATATATGATCTTCCACACTTTCGAAACAAAACCTTACATTCAAGCTTCAAAAATAATTTATTTATTTGTATATTTAGTACATATAGTATAATATATTTTCTTTATTTATTTGTATATTCAGTACATACGTGTACTTTTTCTTATTTATTTATTTATTTAATCATCTACATTTATCTTTATCATTTCTAACGAAATATTCAAGGACTTTTAATGATTATTCAGTTTGTTCACTTCTTTAGAATTATTATTTTTGTGATAATTTTTTGTATAGTTTTTTTGTTTAGTATAATATACTAAACTAAATTACCTTTTGTTATTAACGTATTTTAAACTTTACTAAATATTTCTAAACCACAATCATTACATAAGATTGTGTTATGTCCTATTTTCGGTCTTGTCAATTAGGTATTATTAAACCACTCACAAAGAAAATGATATGGTCATTGAGTCCAAATATTTAACCTGTATTATTATATTTGAAGTTTTATTTAAAGTCGGTATACATTATTACAAGCTCTTTAATATATATATGAAACCATGCTGGTGTCAGTAAAACGGTAGAAAAGAATTACTTCAATTTTACAAGTTGAAGTTACAACCCATGGCTCATAACTGTATCTGTAAGTCGAATATCTTCCTCCAATGAAGGAGCACCTCATATGATGAGTAATCCTCCACCGATATAAAAGTTAATGTATCCCAACTCTTATAATTTTATATTTACATCTGATTAGTTGTCTTCCACCAGTAGTAAAAGTTAATTAATTCTCATTAAAAGTGCCATCTATATACATCGAAGTAAAACACTGCTCAGATTTATATAATAAAATTTAAAATACGTCGCCATTGATTATAGTTTATTAGTACATTTATATACACCAAAAGAAATTATAATGCTGCAAGCTCAATGGTTTGGACTGGTAGGTTAACTATGATCATCTTCATAAATCAGTATAGTGAGGCAGTATATCCACGCCACTGTCTCACAAGTTGAACGTGGGTTGGGTATTAAGCGTAAAGTTTAACAGCCAATTAGTATAGTGTGGCATAGTCCACGCTTACTATAATAAATCATTTAGGTACTCATATTCTTGTCAGTAGAGTGTGGCGAAACCCACGCTTATTGATGTTATCATGTAGTGGTCGATACTGCAGACCCTCAGTATAGTGTGGTGTGACCCACGCTTACTATAATAAAACATTTAGTAAGTTGTGTTAGGTACTCATTCTTGTCAGTAGAGTGTGGCGAAACCCACGCTTATTGATGTTATCATGTAGTGGTCGATACTGTAGACCCTCAGTATAGTGTGGTGTAACCCACGCTTACTATAATAAAACATTTAGTAAGTTGTGTTAGGTACTCATTCTTGTCAGTAAAGTGTGGCGAAATCCACGCTTATTGATGTTATCATATACTGTAGACCCTTAGTATATTGTGGTGTAACCCACGCTTACTATGGCTAGTAAGGATGACTTCATTACTGTTGATTAAGAATTCTCGACCTGCTGGAATGTAGTAGGAAGCATAGTCTCCTAGACTGAAATTCTATGTCCATTAAGATAGATTTATCACACTTAGGTTCAGTCGGTGTGATTATACTTGGATCAATTATCATCTGTATTAAATCTATTTCTCTGCCTTTCTGTTGAAAATTATTACAGAGCTTTTGTTGCAGCAGTTGAATATTCTGCACGATTTGATTTCTCTGATCCGATAGTGCGGGACATATCAATAAAAAGTGCTCCATAGTTTCGTCGGACGTTTGACACAATGGACACGTTGCCAATATTCCTTTATTTTTCGAATGCCTTATCCTGTCAGTCATGAGTATATAGCTTCCTGTCGCTATTCTTATTTTACAGGTATCCTCTGTGCTTCTTTCATGGAACTACTAGCAGATAGATATACCAACATATGTGTTTGTCCCGGTATAAATTGACTATTTAAATATTTTAATGAAGGATACAGCTGACAATGACTTTCAATAAAATGTTTCCAGTATTTTGAGACTTCTTTGTTTACGATGGACTTCCACTGTAAATTTGAAATTTGACTGTCTAATAAATATAGCGCAGATGGTAGATTATACTTGGCTAGAATAAATTTAACATTAATAAACCAGTTATGACTCTCGTCCGTTTTTATAATAAGATGTCTGTACGCAATGTGTTTTTCTAAACTTTCATGTGACTGCCTGCATATGTTGCCAAATAATGACATGACTTTTTTTATGCATTTGGCCTTCTATTGGGAGTTGTCCAGAAAGAATATATATTGCGGGAGTGGCTGTACTTGTAGATATTGATAATAGTTGTTTGATACATTTTTTGTGGAATATAAAAGTACCGGGATAACATAGATATTAAATATATGCAGCAAAGATTGTATGTCTAGTCCATTTTTCCCATGCATACCAGCCGGCATTAAACTGTACATTGCACATCTTGCTTTTTTCACATTCTCATATATTGGGTCAGGATCGTCAGGTTTTGATGTACATAGGATCCTATGTGGGTTGTTTGATTAACTATAGGCATTACTGAATTACCTATATGCCATTGAAATGAAGGTTCTTGTTGTTTTCTTTGATTTGGATATATTGGTAAGATCACACTCTTTACTGCTTGCATCATGCAGCATATATCTTTCCCTGAAGCTATAATTATATGCTAAATTGATTAATACCTGTAGTTCCTCGGGATTATCGCTCATGAGTGCCACATCGTCTGCACGTGTAGGAGCGGCACAATGAATGGACCCTATTCTTGCCCCTATGCCCGAGTGCTCAATAGCTTTCAAGAGATTATTTATGGATAGCTTGTACAGGTCAGCACTTAGTACACCACCTTGTTTTACACTTTGGAGTATTGAGAATGGTTCGGAGACTAGACCATTGAATTTGACTATACTGCTGGAGTCCATATGAAGACTATGAATTAGTTTCCATAGAAGACCGTCTACACCCGCTAAATATAGCTTTCTTAGGAGACTCTCATGCGTTACCACATCAAATGCCGATTTAGCGTCTAGGAGTGCTATGTATATTGTTTTACCAGCATCTCTGCAATCTCTAATAAATTCTTCAATAAAGAAGGAACGGTTCATGGGTGCCGAATTCGAAGTAAAACCTCTTTGAAGCCTACTTTGTTCTGTTAATATATTAGGTTGGACTTTAGCTATTGCTACAGATTCAATTAGTTTCAGCAATATTGGCATAACAGTGATCCCTCTATAATTGGTGGCATTCTTGTTACTTCCTTTATTCTTGAATATAGGGGTTAGGAGTCCCATTTTTATGATTGCAGGTATTAGTCCTAAGTTGAACGATGATACTATTATATAATATTATAATGGCTTGCAGTTTTAGCGTTTTGATGTGCTTTTAGAAATTATGTTTTCATTTATATTACCACCTTTAACAATATGATGTGTAGGGTTGTATGAAGTACATAAAAAGTGAAGTTCTATGCAATCTAAAAATTCTATTTATTTCTCTACTCTATTATCCTTGCATGGCATATAAATACTAATTGTAAGAATGTCTTTACCACATGTGTTTGTTAGTTCAATACATTGAATTCTGTTATTTGTACATTCTACTATAGTAATTATGTTATCAATACTCTTTTTCCATAATATGCAGACTCCACCATATCCGCTCGGTAAGTGGGTAGGTGGTAGTGGATCATCAGAATCAACTGCTTTTCCAACACCATTAAAATCAATATGGATATCATTAAAGAGTGGCAATTGACAGTCAAATAACCAATGCTTCTGCAGCAACACGATATCATAATTAGTAAGAATTTCGCAAAATAATGGATCACATGTTTTAATATTTTTACAGTTAAAAGATAAAATGTTTAAGTGTAATACTTTAAAAACGCTATTTACATTATCATTTTCTTTTGGCACTACGTTCTGTTGTTTATAATTCCTTTCTTGTGAAAAAAAATTTAGTCCTTGTAGTTGGATAACACTGGTGTAGGCATTTCTGTGGGTCTGTTTATAAGTGGATGGCCATGAACATGCCTCACTCTGTTTTGTGAATTTGAAGGAGCTAACGTAGACACATTTGGGTTGTTCAGATCGGGAGAACACTGATATTGTAAATGTTGTGTTACCTCAATTCCTCTGGAGCCTGTTGTATAATATTGCGATTGTGCTGGTTGCAAGACATGGTGATGATACTTGGGCGGCTGATGTGTGGCATTCATTACCAGAGGAATAGTCATAGAATTACCTAAAGTGTCTCTGTGCTCTGTGTATGTACTAGTTTATATTTGTCTCTTTGTATAGGACTCATCATTACTACTTTTCGGTATTATATTATTAGTAATTGTTGACTGTACTGGCATTTGTTCTCTATCAAGTTGGTCTATTTGAGCGTCCACTTTCTGTAAAATTAACTTTGTCATTCTTTCACGCATGGCTATTAATATATTATCTGTTTCTGTTATACACTTATGGTGGCAGCAGGTTTTTGCTTGTGAGTTGGTATCTGCTTTATTGGATTCAGAGCTAGTATCTTCAAGGACAACTATTTTTCTGTTAAGAATTCTTATTGTGTTTTCCATTTCTGTTATTTTATTTTCTTGCATAAGAATTAAGGATTTAAGGCGGATATTTTGAGCGTTGAGCTCTGAATTTCTCATTTCTCTTAATCAGATATCATCTTCTTTCTTTTTTCAATTTTAGCTCTAGCTGCCTTAAGTCTTTAAATTTTAATTGTGCATCGTCAGTAACTTTGCTCTGATTTATACAAGCATCATCTGTTTTGTTATTTATTACTGTTCTTCGTTTCGAGATTGTACTGTTTTGGGTCATATTTAATGTGTGTAAACTTTTCTTTTTCTTTTGATTACTATCTATTTGTGTGTTGGTATGACATATGGACGGCAATTCAATTTGCTGTTCATGCGGTGTTTTCATGATTGTGTTGTAATTATGTTTATTTTCTGCTTCATAGTAAGAGTTTTTTTCTAACCTGCTCATCTTGTATTTCTAACCCATAGAACACTTGACACTTTTGCATCGGGCAGTGTTTAACTATGCATGTCAAGTGTACTATATTATTACAGCTATCACAAACAGTTTCATCTGCATCTTGAATCTCACTGTCACAGTTGGAGCATATTTGTTTAATTCTTTCTTCATTCAGAAGCATTTCTGCATTGGTCGCCAATTGCGTAATAGGCGGACTTACTTATGCTATTTGTGTTGTATTAATAGACACAATGTTACATTTACTGCTTTGAATAGATACTCGATAAGCTACCAATCTCGATTGAACTGTCAATAGTCTTTGGACAAGAGGAGCATGTGTATGAGTTACTGCTATTATTTTCAATATTGCTTATTGATATCAGGATGCGCAAGACCTTCACATCTTTAGTGAACCCACAGCTGACAGTTGTTACACTGTACGGCTCTAGTGACTACATTTCTATTACACTTTCTACATTTGGCTTTCATGTTGTTATTTGTAGATCTGTAATCCAACATGTATTGTAGTTGTTGTTCTAGTAATTTATTAATTGGTTGTTCACATAGGTATTGCAAATCATATGGTGAATTGTGGGTAATTTATTTTCAATAAAGTAGTTACAGATTTTCCATTTATTAATAAAGAAGCTTTTGTTGAGTAAGAATTTATGGTATATGATTCGCTGTTCTTCAGTTGAACTTTAAATGTTTTTTGGTCTAATACACCTCTTCTATCATGTTCAGATTTGAATGTGATTTCTCCTGCAGAAAGTGGATAATTTTGATAATAACTTGATAGAGCAGCAACAAATAATTCAAAGGTTGCTAAATCTAGTGTGACGATGAGACCATCACCAGTCTTTTTGTAACATATATCGGTCGTTTTTGCCGATTCGCTTGTTTTGCAATACTTTATCAATATTCAGTGAATATGTTTTAGTTTTAATTTGATTTTGTATGTCACCAACATGATTGTTATCTTGAGTAGAGTCTGGATCCACGATTATTTTCTCATAGCATTTTGTTTCTAAGGCCATTTTGTTGTGAGGATGTATATATGTATATACAGTATGCCTTGTTGTTTTGGAGAGACTCCTTATTTCAGATCAGTATTTAAAATCTAAGTGAGTTTAGTGTGGCGTTACCCACGCTTACTGTATTTAAGGTAACAGCTTCAACACATTGCAGTTTAGTGTAGTGAGACCTTTGCTTACTGCATTTATGATGTATAAGGTGATGTGCTTCACATGTTATCCATATATTTACACGACGATTTATGTTGAACAATCGTTAAACAATAATTAAAAAATATGTAGAGATGAATATGCAGTAAGCCCTACTTCCTTGGAGAGTCTCCTTTTTCCAGATTAAAATTTAAAAACTAAAATCTAAGTGAGCTTGGTGTGGCGTTACCAACGCTTACTGTAGTTAAAACAGCATCATCAGTGGTTGTTGTACATTATTATATATTTTGCAGTGTAGTGTGGTGAGACCCACGCTTACTGTATGGTAATGTATCTAAGAGCTCTAGTTGGAGGTATCCCAGCAATCTTTGATAATTTGTTGTTCGATCTTTTTTAACCAGACTCTTGAAAGCAGTCGTCGTGGGTGAATACCATCAAAGTACAGTTCAAGCCTATGCTGTACCCGTCTTGTCACTTGGTGGCGATTACCTTTTCTGTACTTTTGAATGAGAGTAGATCTGAGCTAAATTTAGGAGAGTAAGAGTTGTTATTGGTGTTAAGCTCCCTAATTTTGCGGTTAACTTTAACTATGTGTTCTTCTTAATCTTTGTCTTGCTGATAAAATCTTTGTAAGTCGTCTTTTCCGTTTCCCGCTGCCCAGTTCCAGGATACAATTGAGTTGAGTATAATGGGATTTCCAAAATGGTTACTTTGCACCCAGGGTGAGCATTAATACATTGAATGATTAATTCTGCTTCTGTAATGATTTCTTCTATGATACAGTCGTCGTGTGTGCACAGGGAAATGTATCTGCCGTTCTTGATAGTGAGATCACATGTACCTGCCCATACATATACCCATATATTACCTTCCTTTTTAATAAGGGAGTCTATAGTGCTCTCCAGCCACTATCGGCACTGTTTTATTTTGGCACCCTTACTACAATACCAAGTTATATTATGCTCTGTTGTTGTGGATCCTTGGGATTCTAAATTGTACCCTTTACTATCTGTTAAAATTATAGGTGTCAATTTTTGTGACCCAGAAGGGACAAGCCTGCTCCTTTGCAGGAATTTAATCAGCTTTCTTTGAATTACATGTATGATGGATTGATGTATATATTGTTTCTGTTTATAGTATGGTAATATTTTGTTTTGAATATTCGCGGACCGGAAGTGCACGGGCCCCGCGAAAGTCAAATTCAGTTGTGTAAAAATCTTTCTAAATTGGAAAGAAAATGAGTAAATGTTAGACTGTTGTAATTGTTCATCAAATATACTGTAATGTTCTTTTTATATGTTAAATTGCACACTATACAACATTGAAATCATGAAATTCCCAGCACCAAAAGATACGTCTACCATCACCAATAGCGCCACCGGAAGTCCATAAGCTTCATTGTAAGTGACAACACCTAACAAAAGACACTATTAGCCATGGAATATGTATTTATTTTAGCTGTATTAGCTGGGAGATATTATACATCTTGTATTGTTACGGCCAAACTCAATAAAGACTTCTAATTCCATGTAATTGATGAATTCAACAACACTTACCGTTATCTTGATGATGTTTTTCGTTAAATAATCCTCTCTAGATAAAATGCCGAAATTTACAAAAAGGCAATCAAACAGAATCTGCATTAACTGTCCTTAAAAAATTTACGAAAAAGGGGCCTTTTATAGCTTTTACAGTCTAAAAATAAACAATAAGTAAAAAGATATACGTAGGTGTAAATTTGCATATTTTCATGAAAGGGTCTACTCGAGTTATTCAAACAAATAACGTTTCCTCAAATTAGAGAAGTGCAGAACCAATTCAATTATTTATTTATCGTCAGTTTTATAACTTATAGGTATAAAACACATTTATTTCAATATAAATACACGTGATCACGATAAGGTGTCATGTGATATGATATACATATAACTTAATAATTTAGAATATTTTCATTACGAAATAAACCCACTTCCGGCAATTTGATGGGTTAGTTCATTGTGATTTTTGTATACGAAGCAGTTCAACTGTCATGACTGTATAAAAAGTGTCATTATTCTGGCCAAACAATTATTCATTTTTATTCATTTCAGATAAATAATTTCCAATGTCTTTAGAATTCCTTTCAACTCTTCAGTCAGTATACGATGGGTTTCAAGATACCAACTCATCCCAAAACAAGTATGTATATTACCATCTACTTTAAAATGAACAAATATATTTCAGACTGTCTCCTTTGTGAGACATGTTGTTGGCATTTCAATCACAGTTTGCCGGTGGACTGTTCGTTCACAAGAATATCACAAGCCCAGTAGCCAGTACTTCGATAAGTACTGGCATAAGATACTGATATTTTTAGATTAAAATTTGCTGTCATAAAATTTTTGAAATCATTTGAAATCAAGTAATATATCTCCCTCATGTAAATTTTAGCTCTGATGCCTTGTCCGGATTTGGCTATATCATCTCCTCCCACGTTTTATTAGGTTTTGGATTTTCAAATGTTTTGGCCTCGAGCATCACTGAAGAGACATTAATTATCGAAATGCGCATCTGGTGCATAACAATTAGATTAACACACTTTATGTACCATTAATATTAGAGTAATATTTCCGGAGCATCTGTCTGAGTAAAACCTGGTGTTTGGTCGGGTTCATTTATTTCAATCTCATATTTTCTGTATATATTATTATGCACCCTGAACGGAGTTCGGGTAACATCTTGTTATTGTTCTTTCTCTTTTTTATTATTTTTATTTTTCTTCCACACTTAATTTGATGGAAATATACCATAAGGTGGAACACCATGTGAAGTTGTGCAACTGACTTTGGAAAGTGCAAGAAGGCCACCGTGTCCATGGAAATAGCAAAAATGTGAAATTTTTGAAAATTCTAAATCTTTTTTTTTTTAAGACCCAACCTAATGAAACTTTATGGAAATGTTGCCTATTATGTCTAGATGGGAATACAGTATTTAGAACTTCCAAAATGGCGACCATTGTCATGGAAATTGGGGAATAGTATTACTTTGAACCCTATGGGAAAATTTTGAAAGTAGCTTTTCTTTACAGAATATGGCACAGAAAACCCAAAATGAAACTTTATTGAAATGTAACATGTTAAGTGTCAATGTGGTATCTGTCTTTGAGATTTTTGATATGATCACCGTAACCATGAAAACAGCTTAAATGTTCAAAAATTTCAAAATGCTCCAAAGTTTATGAAATTGTACAAAAATAACAACTGGTACTGGTAAAGTGGCTGTATGACTTTGGGATTTTCAAAATGGCTGCCGTTACCATGGTAACAGCAAAAATGTGAAAGATTTATAAATGGTCCAAACTTAATGAAAGTTAATATAAATGCCTTTTTTACTTCGGAATTTTTCAAAATGGCTGCCGTGACCATAGCAATCGGCGGACCAGGGTGCCATCTGCTATTGCTTGATATCGCAAATATAGTTTTCTTTACTATTGTATGTCGTTTTGTTAATGGTGCTTGTCTGTTTTTATCCTTATAAGTTTTGTTTGCCGATTCAGTATCCTCTCCCTCTTTTTGCTTTATTGAAGCTGTCAATTTTAGTCTTATTTTTAAATTAAAGTGCAATATGATAAAAGTTTAACTATTTTGTTTTCAGTGCCGTTTGTACAGAAGTAATACCGCACCAAACACTTTACCAGTTTCTTTTGATACCAGCGGTAAGCAATGTAATTTAAAACAAAAGTAATACACCATAAAAAAAAATACCAGTATTTTCCAATTTTTAGGCATTCTTTGTGATGTAAATAAAGTTATCATGGTGCAGTTTGTTTTTTATTTCTAGAACGATAAAAACAAATTGCCATCAAGACAAAATGTAAATAAAAAAATTGGGAGGTATTTTCTGTTACTATACTAGCTTACACACTATATGTATGCAGGTCTAAATCCAACATGTCTGCGCTAACATAAAGATTGTTAGCATTCCGAATATACTGTATGAGATTGTTCAAAGCATATAAGATGGTTTACTGTATAGAATTGACATTTTATACGTATGTTTGGATACCTGGACGTTGACATGTTGAATCTTTCAAACATGCTTACATGGATTTGGACATGTTGGGTCGATCCACACATACGTAAACCTGTTTGCGTTGAATACAGTGAACGTGCATGATGTCTTTACTTGGATGCAGACATGATTGATCTATCCAAATATACGTATGCAGGTGTACATGTAATCGATAAGAAGTGGGAAACAACATATACAAATGAACGATGCTTTTTTTTATCAAATTTTCGTGTTAATACAGCATTATAAAACTGGTTTAATACATTTTTTTTCGTGCTTTGAAAAGTATTTTAATTGAACCTTTTTATTGTTTTTTTCGTAAATTCAATGGCATATAACATTTCAAGCCGAAGCATTTAATACGAAATTATTTTGTTTTTTCACTCGATAAAACCTAGACCACACTCGAAAAAAACCCTAACTGCTCTCGAAAAAACTCGGACATAAAACTAATTAATTTACTCTAAAAATTTCCTTCGCAATGCAATAACAAAGAATTTTTGTGAAGTGTATGCATTTGTTATTTGCTTTGACATTTGCATTGATATGTGTAGAAAAACGTCTTTATTATTTTTGAATAAAAGTATTGTAAGGCTAAATTAAACCTTTATAACAGAAAGTACTGTAGGGTTGATAATATCAAGTACTACCTTACCTTGTATGATTTTGGATATTAAGGTAAAGTAAATATTTCGCGACTAACCAGAAAAAAGTCTGCTTACATTTTTTATCATAGTCACTCGAAAAAAATATGGTCACACTCGGAAAAAAGCCCCGACAAAGCCTACTGTGGGTAAGTCATTTGTATACATGTAGAAGTAGTACCATATAAAAACAAAGTCATGTTTTATTTTTCCTGATTACCGCGATAAGCCATAATTATACAACATTTACACTGCATCAATATCTGCATTTGTTTCATTACCATAAAGTTTCATAGAAGTAAATCAATTGATAAATACCCTAACATTATATTAGTATTTCGTTATGTTGACTTCCATTCAATCGAAGCAGTACCCATCAAAATTTTATTCAGCATATGTGATTTAAATCCCACACATACTATAATACGTTCATTGAATTGAAATCGGTGACGCCACTGCTAACATGCGCATAATTATATCAACCAGATGAAAAAAATGTACACTCCTTATGAAGGAGTCAATGCAATAAAAGGAAAAACTAGCAAAAGGAAGACGTCGTGTTAACAATGACACATTTTAATAGCAAGGTATATGAACGATCATTGGTCACTATTAATGTTTGTTTTAGTAAGAATAAGATAAGGTGGATTTTAATTTGTATATTTAGTAAAAACCTATATTTAGATTCAGTTATTTAATATTTATGGTCTAAAAAAAATCATAAAAAATACCAGTCTTTGAAGGGGCACTAGCTACGAGTTATAAACAAATTATAAAATATGATTTTTTTTGTTCAAACATTAACGAAATTGGAATAGTGAAATAATAATTCGCTTTTAGCAGCCAGTATTGTCTAATTTTGTCAAAATAAGCAAATAAATATTGATGATGAATTATTCACTGGCAAGTGAATAATTCGACCTCTTTGAATTCGTATTCATGTGAACTTCAATTTAACCCCTTAGATAGAGTTGGACAACGCATGAATTGTGTGCATGTTTGATTATTTAAAGGAAAAGAATGCCAACATTGAAAGTAAGTTATATAGATACAATGGATAAGCGTGGATTCTTGAAAAAGAAACCATGAGCCCGGAGGGCGAATGGTTTGTTTTTCATGAATCTACGCTTATCCATTGTATCTATAACTTAAACTATTGTGTTAATTTATTTTCAAAATTTAAGCCTTTTCTTAATTAGAAGGTATTGTAAGTGAGTTAAAATAACCATGTTATCGTGTCCAACGATGCATTGATAAATCTCAGATCACAATTAATTGGTTCACAAAATACCAATATAACACTTCTACCTTTAAAGATCTTTATATTACCAGGCATATGAATATTATCTGTTTATACAAAATAAGACATATTCGAAATTATGTCTAATAAAATTGAAAATTGAAATGGGGAACTGTCAAAGAGACAACAACTCGACCAAAAAGCATATATAAAGTATATATAATAAGTATGTTATCGAAATTTTTCTAGCACTCTAGGCACATCACGATTTTCTCGCATAGGAATTTGCGAACAAACCTTTGTAAAATTATGTAGTAAAATAGATTAAATCATACTATATTTATAAAACAAAAATTGACAAATAGAATGTAATCATTTTTGTTTCAAACATGTGAAATAGCCAATAATAATAAAAAAAAACCAGTAAAACTCGCTATTATTACAAAAATATCCACTATAACATGAAAAATTAGAATAAAACCTGGATAACTTAAGAATTGGAACAACAGAGAGAATACAGGGATTCGAACCTAAACCGACAAATCCCTATCTTTAACTCATTGATTTTAACCATGCTAACCTCGCGGCTACCAACTCATACTATACGACTGCCTATTGTGTCTATATAATGGTACAATCCCTGTGTGTCCGATGAACCGATGTATATCAGATGTTCATTTAAATATATAAAATAGACATCTATAGTGTAACCCATTGGTAGCCGAGAGGTTTCGTCGATGTGTTGATGTCAGTCACACATAACAGATTTCAAGGAAGGGTTCGATTCCCAGTGAAGGCATATAAAAATTACAAAAATTAAAGGTAAGTTTTTAAATTAATTCCATTAGTGAACAGAAATCAGTAAATTAGCCAATTCAAACTTAATGAAATTAGGCACACAAAGGAAACAATTGAATATAATTTGGTGAGTCAATTTCAGCGGCAGATTTAGGAAGCGTTGATTCTAGAAAAAGAATCCACTGTAAATGAATAGGCTGACGTCACCACAATGGTTTAAACAAAGATAATTCATTTAATTGACTGATTCGGTCCTCAGAAAAATCATTCTTATACAGGTAAAAATGATAATTAACGTATATTTTTAATCTATAAATGAAATTAAATAGACCAAGAAGCATCCAATTGCACGAGTTGAGCAATCTATTTATATCTTTATTTATGTTTATATCCCTTATATGGGCATCAGTTGTTTTCGGGAGGTCAACTCGACAGTTAATTAGATGGCGTCTAGACTAAAATACACACAAAACGAAGCTACATTTTATCGACCCCATGCCCTGTAAATTGTTTATTTTAGTTTTTTTATAATTTGGATAAATGTTTTACATTGTTATATAACAAGTATGAGAATTTGAGTCAAATCAGTACATGAATTTGACAGCTAGTGCCCCTTTAATTACTCGAGTTTCGTCTACATAAAACTCATTATTGGTGCTAGAAACATAATAAAGTACATGTATTGTTAATAAATATCTATCACGTGACGTTTTCTTGTATCTTTGAAGGAGTTTGTCATAAAATGTGTTTCACAACAGTAAAAGTATAAATCTATAATTATATGGGAGGGGGCGGACAGGGTAAAGGGAGACAGGGAGAGAGGGGGAGGGAGAAAGGAGAGAGGGGGCGGGAGAAAGGAGAGAAGGGGCGGGAGAAAGGAGAAAAGGGGTAGATAAGGGATACAAAAATGTTTATAAAAAAATAATAAAAGTGAGTCGGAAATTGATTATTTTATTAAATTAGATAATACAAAGCTTGAAGAAAGTGGTAATAAATGTCATAGTAGGCTTAATGAAAACGACCTCATAAATACGCCAAGCGTCGTCACTTATTCAATCATTACGATCTCTTATATACGGAGGAAGACTAAAAACTAACAGAATATCAATGATTGTATTCTGAATCCATGCATTTATAGAAACAAACATGTTTATACCATCCATGTTTTTAGATAAATTGCGTCAAAGTTGACCGATATGCAAAGAATTTGACAGAAAAGGGATGACGCTACTGCATATCAAATAACGTTATTTTTACGGAGAGGTATGAAAATATGTAACGGGATCTGAATGGTGTTTGTTATTTTGTTTTCATTTCCCCTGTCCGGTTACTTACATTTCGTCCTAATCGGGTGCATAATTAGCTTATAAAGAAATTCAAATCTTCAACTTAACCCTACTAGCCAAATTAGACAAGGGTGATGCCACCGCAACTTCCGTATGTCAAATATTTCATGCATGTTTAGGACGATTCAATACAATTATAAATAGTTGTGTTTAAAAGACACATTTAATGCAACCATCAAAAAAGGTTAGACATTCTGTTAGTTGTAAAAAATGATAGATTCAAACAATATCTTGATGAAATACATATTCTTAATCAAGTATACTGTATGGTGTAAATGTAAGAGCCACTATGTTCCGTCAGTTACTTTGTTCCGGCGGAACTTTTCCACTAGTTATTTCGTTCCGATGGAACTTTCCAACTAGTTGTTTTATTCCGAGTGCAGTCGAAAAGTTCCGGAAAAAAGTAGCTAGTTGAAAAGTCCTGGAACGATAGCTAGTTGAATAGTTCTGGCGGAACAGAACAACTAGTTACATCGTTCCGAATATACCATATTTCTTCCTTTTTGTAGAAAGAAGGGGAAGAATGAGTATCAGTATATATAAGAGCAAATCATTAATTTACAAGAATAACCAACGCACTTAAAGAGGTTTCTTTGGGGACAAATATGCAAAATTTAAGTTGTATTTCAAAGCTCACATAAAACGGAATAAGTTGCATTATCATGCAAATTTAGTATTCATAGTACCCTCAAGAGAGGGAAGAATACCCCCCTCCTCATGTGGTTGAACCGTTCTTTGCATCAATTCTCTAAATGGAACTTTGTGACTGGTTGATAAGTTCCGTTGGAACTTTTGGGCTAGTTTGTTAGTTCCGGTTTTGACTTATTTGCCAAAGAGGAACTTTGTGGCTAGTTGATAAGTTCCTTTTGACTTTTGTAATCAGTATCTTGGTTTCCCTTTAAAAGGTTCAAATATAATATGTTGCGCTTTTACTTTGCATCAATTCTCCAAATGGAACTTTCTGCCTGGTTGATAAGTTCCGTTGGAACTTTTGGGCTAGTTTGTTAGTTCCGGTTTTGACTAATTTGCCAAAATGGAACTTTGCAACTAGTTGATATGTTCTGTTGGAACTTTTGAACTAGTCACTTTGTTCCGGTGGAACTTTTAAACCAGAGGAAGAACAAAGTAACTAGTTAATAAGTTCCTCCGGAACTTTTCGGCTAGTTAGTTCTTTCCGCCCGGAACTTTCCAACGTCGGAACAAAAGAGCATTTACATAAACGTGTGATTTTTTTTAATGAGTTTGCTCATTTTAACATTTTGATAATATATAAAGGCACCTTACAAATTGTATTCAAAATTTCACTTGAAAAGACAAAGTTCAACATTCTGTCATTCGTGAAAAATTATACAATATAAAATCCTGAGAATATATATGCACTCTCTATATAAGTAAAACACTCGGCGCAATATAAAAGTTCAAGCTTGAAATTGTACATGTAGTCGTAGAAGGAGTAAGCAGGGCTATGTATTCTGCGTGCATTTATATATTATCAAAATGCCAAATTAAGCAACCTGACATTTAAAACAAAAAACAAACAAAAATCCTGACAATATGCGCACTTTTGGTATATATACTAACACCTGGTACATAATTTAAAGTTGAATCTTAAAAACTAAGCAGTAAGAAATAAACTGAATAAACCCTCAGTTATATTTACCAAGTCAGGGACGGGCGGTCATACAGACACGGGTAAAACAGTATGCTTCCGGGACCAAAATATATATTAAGCGTATCTGATGATGGTCTATTTTATAAGGCATTTTGTGACAAAACATAATTTTGTCTTTGATAGAAAAATGTCTCATAGGCACTACATCTCCTTATTTCATAATGGTTTGAGTTTTCTTCTGAAATACGAGTTGTTTAAAGACTAACAAATTTGTATCTTACGAGATTGACATATGTTTGTATTATATTGAATATGACTAATGTTGTGAACGTGTGATGCTATCATTTGATAGATTTTATACTTACTATAGTAAATATACTTATTAACTTTCAAATTCAAGGGACCAAATTATCTTTTCTAAATCCACAAATTAGCAGTATAAAAATTCTCGTCCATCCTGCATTTGTCCTGTGTTATTAGGTGTCTTTGGTTTTTGTGTGTCGTTAATTGGCCAGTTGCAGTCTTATTGAATCTCCCATATCTCCATTTACAACACTTTTATTTAACATACATACTTGTATATGTACTTGTTATAAAATCTCTTTTAAAGATCGTAAATAACCTCTGACTTTTCCGCCGCTCATGGAGTCATGTCAGCAATGTGTCCCTCCCCAAAAAGACACCTTTGTTAATCATTTATCAATCGTTTTGACTCACCGTTTTATGAAATGGTGCATTTTTCATCATCTGTACCTGTACAGCATGTCCAGCTCAAACAAAAAAAAATACAACCATCCCTGTACACCAAAGCGTAAATTAACTTGAACCTATATTAAAATCAATCAGGTCCAGGACCAATCCAGTATATCTTATTATAATCCTTCGTAATTAATTCCATTTTCTATGTGCATATATTTAGAGTAATTTGGAGCTGGTATACTCAGCATATGATACATATTTCTTGTTGTGGAATACATTTTTCGTAATTTATTTTCATATTTTTTAAGACATTCACATTTCCATGCTTGTAGTATAATTGTTGTGTGTGTGTATTTTTAGTATAGAAATCCAGATCTTGTCTGTGTTTCTTATACTAAACGAGGTGTTTCTGTTATGGTCATGTATACGTAGGCCTATCCTCATGAGGTATACTTCCGAAATCATATCGAATTTCTTCTAAACAGTCCAATAACAGATATTTTTTTCTTCTTATTTAGCAGCATTTGGATTTCTACTTGAAAAAAAATCATCGGGAAACGGCGTGCATCAAACTCATTTGCAAATTCAATGCAAACAGACAGATAAACAGTCAGTGAAAATAATATTGAGGTTCTTGAAGCAGAAGAAACAACACTTCTATCTTGTGAAAGGACAAGACAGGGACTAGCTATCAAAAAAGCAACAAATTTTATCGATTTTTATTAAAACGAGATTTCTATACATTAGTTTTTCATGTTTGGGGTCGGGAGACAAGAGAAAGAGGGTGGGAGAAAGAAGAAAAGGGGCGGGAGAAAGGAGGAAGGGGGCAGGAGAAAGGAGAAAAGGGCGGGAGAAAGGAGAAAGGTACCCCCCTGTCTGCCCCTCATATGGGGGAGCACTTAATTCCAATCGGAATAGCAATTCTTTTCAGTGTATTCAATTTCCCCAAAAAATCATAAATTGTACCAAGCAAAAACAGTAACGACCCTCATCGTGTCTTTTCATAACTGTTGAAAGTTGCATGTCTGAAAAGGGAATAACAGCAACCAATGTTGTAAAATCAAGATTTTTTGAAAGACCAGTTTTTCGTCAGCAGAAATAAAAGTATTAAATACATAACGATATCGAGTTGGATTTTATCGTCAAAACATTAGCTTCATTTAGAATAGAATATAATTTAATCTTCTGTCCACAAGATCTGCATGAGTTATTGTCATCACGTTGTGTCAGTCATCAGTCATTCCATTAGTCCATACATTTCATATGTCCATAATTTGTAGATTCTCTGACACAAATTTGTCTTTTCACAAAAGTTATGAAAGGTCCTTTATGAAAGTTTCTAGTTTAGTTTTGATCGACTAAAACAAGATGGCCAAAAGAGCAAATTCGAAACTTTCGCTGAATGATTTAGAGATCCTCTACATAGATTCATACTCAAGTGCTGATCGGCCGCCATTCTTGGCGGCTATGGTATAACAAAAGTATCATTTCAAATCTTTTGGAAATCACATGTTCATCATCTCCTCTGAAACAACAATGCCAATTTAAACTAATTATTCAGGAATAAGTTATGGACTTTGCGCATCTCATTAAAAATAAGTTGAAAACATGAACATTAGAGACAATACTTGATTCTGATTTGTCAGTTTTCCAAGGGCAAATTTTGTCTCCTCTAAAACTACCCTAACAAATGTAAAGAATGATGATTTGAAGATCTTTCCTCAACAAAGATTCATAATTTCGTAAATTAAATTTAAATGCAAAGAACCAACATTAGAGAACATATGATATAATGCTTTCGCTAATTCTTTGACAATATAACCCTTTCTGGATCCATTGTTAAAAAAAAAATGAATCAACGTGCGGTTGCCAATTATCTCAGTAGATGATTGGCTGAGTTTAAAGATCATAACCTTTACCAGCTCTCTGGATGAATCGAAACGTGCTAACAGGTGTTAGAGAAATTTACAACTTTATATTTGTATCACGTAGAAATCAGGAAGCACTCGAAGGGGATTTTTGATTATCAAAAATGAAAATTTATTTGATAATCATTAGAGGACAGATTCTTGCATAAATACTCGTGGATTTTCAGATTTATCCAATCGAGATAGTTAAATTCACTGGTACCAATGTTAGAATCTATTACAATCTTTCTATAATATGCGCTAACACAATATCAATAAATTGCTGAGTTGGACAAGTTTTTTAAAAAGTTGTTACTTGCTTGCAGATAAGATTCTCCTTCCTTTGTTTAGTGACATATACTGTAACCAATAAATGCTGACTTAAATGGAATGATTGCCAATGAGACAACTCTCCACTAGAGACCAAATGACGTAGATGTTAACAAATATAGGTCACCGTACGGCCTTCAACAATGAGCAAAACCCATACAACATAGTAATTATATATATATGACAATACAAACGTGAATATTAACGGCCTGATTTATGTACCAAACAATAAACGAAAAATAAATACGATATACAGCAACAAATGACAACCACTGAATTATAGGCTCCTGACTTAAACATTATTTGCAACGCCATATCAGAAATTGGTCTGTCATGTATGATTGTAAGAAATGTCTTTTTTCTCACTAAACAAAATGGTTTATTGTTAAAGGCCGTATGTTGACCCCTCTATGTCTTTTCCGATTTATATAAATGAACAACTCCTTAATTAACGAATACCATATAAGTATTGACAAAAAATATATCAAATCTGTAATATATTCTTCTACTTCTTTAGGTTGTGTTTACATTACTCCTGGCGTTTGCTGAAAAACGTGTGTATATGTGTCTACAATGTCTGTCTGGGAGACCTGGTGTTGTATAGTAAGTATGTATATGTGTGTCTACAATGTCTGTCTGGGAGACCTGGTGTTGTATAGTAAGTATGTATATGTGTCTACAATGTCTGTCTGGGAGACCTGGTGTTGTATAGTAAGTATGTATATATGTGTCTACAATGTCTGTCTGGGAGACCTGGTGTTGCATAGTAAGTATGTATATGTGTCTACAATGTCTGTCTGGGAGACCTGGTGTTGTATAGTAAGTATGTATATGTGTCTACAGTCTCTGTCTGGGAGACCTGGTGTTGTATAGTAAGTATGTATATGTGTCTACAATGTCTGTCTGGGAGACCTGGTGTTGTATAGTAAGTATGTTTATGTGTCTACAATGTCTGTCTGGGAGACCTGGTGTTGTATAGTAAGTATGTATATGTGTCTACAATGTCTGTCTGGGAGACCTGGTGTTGTATAGTAAGTATGTTTATGTGTCTACAGTCTCTGTCTGGGAGACCTGGTGTTGTATAGTAAGTATGTTTATGTGTCTACAATGTCTGTCTGGGAGACCTGGTGTTGTATAGTAAGTATGTATATGTGTCTACAATGTCTGGTGTTGTACAGTAAGTATGTTTATGTGTCTACAATGTCTGTCTGGGAGACCTGGTGTTGTATAGTAAGTATGTATATGTGTCTACAATGTCTGTCTGGGAGACCTGGTATTGTATAGTAAGTATGTATATGTGTCTACAGTCTCTGTCTGGAAGACCTGGTGTTGTATAGTAAGTATGTATATGTGTCTACAGTCTCTGTCTGGAAGACCTGGTATTGTATAGTAAGTATGTATATGTGTCTACAATGTCTGTCTGGGAGACCTGGTGTTGTATAGTAAGTATGTATATGTGTCTACAGTCTCTGTCTGGGAGACCTGGTGTTGTATAGTAAGTATGTATATGTGTCTACAATGTCTGTCTGGGAGACCTGGTGTTGTATAGTAAGTTTGTATATGTGTCTACAATGTCTGTCTGGGAGACCTGGTGTTGTATAGTAAGTATGTATATGTGTCTACAGTCTCTGTCTGGAAGACCTGGTGTTGTATAGTAAGTATGTATATGTGTCTACAATGTCTGTCTGGGAGACCTGGTGTTGTATAGTAAGTATGTATATGTGTCTACAATGTCTGTCTGGGAGACCTGGTGTTGTATAGTAAGTATGTATATGTGTCTACAGTGTCTGTCTGGGAGACCTGGTGTTGTATAGTAAGTATGTATATGTGTCTACAATGTCTGTCTGGGAGACCTGGTGTTGTATAGTAAGTATGTATATGTGTCTACAATGTCTGTCTGGGAGACCTGGTGTTGTATAGTAAGTATATATATGTGTCTACAATGTCTGTCTGGGAGACCTGGTGTTGTATAGTAAGTATATATATGTGTCTACAATGTCTGTCTGGGAGACCTGGTGTTGTATAGTAAGTATGTATATGTGTCTACAATGTCTGTCTGGGAGACCTGGTGTTGTATAGTAAGTATGTATATGTGTCTACAATGTCTGTCTGGGAGACCTGGTGTTGTATAGTAAGTATGTATATGTGTCTACAATGTCTGTCTGGGAGACCTGGTGTTGTATAGTAAGTATGTATATGTGTCTACAATGTCTGTCTGGGAGACCTGGTGTTGTATAGTAAGTATGTATATGTGTCTACAATGTCTGTCTGGGAGACCTGGTGTTGTATAGTAAGTATGTTTATGTGTCTACAATGTCTGTCTGGGAGACCTGGTGTTGTATAGTAAGTATGTATATGTGTCTACAATGTCTGTCTGGGAGACCTGGTGTTGTATAGTAAGTATGTTTATGTGTCTACAGTCTCTGTCTGGGAGACCTGGTGTTGTATAGTAAGTATGTTTATGTGTCTACAATGTCTGTCTGGGAGACCTGGTGTTGTATAGTAAGTATGTTTATGTGTCTACAGTCTCTGTCTGGGAGACCTGGTGTTGTATAGTAAGTATGTTTATGTGTCTACAATGTCTGTCTGGGAGACCTGGTGTTGTATAGTAAGTATGTATATGTGTCTACAATGTCTGTCTGGGAGACCTGGTGTTGTTCTACAATGTCTGTCTGGGAGACCTGGTGTTGTATAGTAAGTATGTATATGTGTCTACAATGTCTGTCTGGGAGACCTGGTGTTGTATAGTAAGTATGTATATGTGTCTACAATGTCTGTCTGGGAGACCTGGTGTTGTATAGTAAGTATGTATATGTGTCTACAGTGTCTGTCTGGGAGACCTGGTATTGTATAGTAAGTATGTATATGTGTCTACAGTGTCTGTCTGGGAGACCTGGTGTTGTATAGTAAGTATGTATATGTGTCTACAGTGTCTGTCTGGGAGACCTGGTGTTGTATAGTAAGTATGTATATGTGTCTACAGTGTCTGTCTGGGAGACCTGGTGTTGTATAGTAAGTATGTATATGTGTCTACAGTGTCTGTCTGGGAGACCTGGTGTTGTATAGTAAGTATGTATATGTGTCTACAGTCTCTGTCTGGAAGACCTGGTGTTGTATAGTAAGTATGTATATGTGTCTACAATGTCTGTCTGGGAGACCTGGTGTTGTATAGTAAGTATGTATATGTGTCTACAGTCTCTGTCTGGGAGACCTGGTGTTGTATAGTAAGTATGTATATGTGTCTACAGTCTCTGTCTGGGAGACCTGGTGTTGTATAGTAAGTATGTATATGTGTCTACAATGTCTGTCTGGGAGACCTGGTGTTGTATAGTAAGTATGTATATGTGTCTACAATGTCTGTCTGGGAGACCTGGTGTTGTATAGTAAGTATGTATATGTGTCTACAATGTCTGTCTGGGAGACCTGGTGTTGTATAGTAAGTATGTATATGTGTCTACAATGTCTGTCTGGGAGACCTGGTGTTGTATAGTAAGTATGTATATGTGTCTACAGTGTCTGTCTGGGAGACCTGGTGTTGTATAGTAAGTATGTATATGTGTCTACAATGTCTGTCTTGGAGACCTGGTGTTGTATAGTAAGTATGTATATGTGTCTACAATGTCTGTCTGGGAGACCTGGTATTGTATAGTAAGTATGTATATGTGTCTACAGTGTCTGTCTGGGAGACCTGGTGTTGTATAGTAAGTATGTATATGTGTCTACAATGTCTGTCTGGGAGACCTGGTGTTGTATAGTAAGTGTGTATATGTGTCTACAGTGTCTGTCTGGGAGACCTGGTGTTGTATAGTAAGTATGTATATGTGTCTACAATGTCTGTCTGGGAGACCTGGTGTTGTATAGTAAGTATGTATATGTGTCTACAATGTCTGTCTGGGAGACCTGGTGTTGTATAGTAAGTATGTATATGTGTCTACAATGTGTGTCTGTCTGGGAGACCTGGTGTTGTATAGTAAGTATGTATATGTGTCTACAGTGTCTGTCTGGGAGACCTGGTATTGTATAGTAAGTGTGTATATGTGTCTACAATGTCTGTCTGGGAGACCTGGTGTTGTATAGTAAGTATGTATATGTGTCTACAATGTGTGTCTGGGAGACCTGGTGTTGTATAGTAAGTATGTATATGTGTCTACAATGTCTGTCTGGGAGACCTGGTGTTGTATAGTAAGTATATATATGTGTCTACAATGTCTGTCCGGGAGACCTGGTGTTGTATAGTAAGTATGTATATGTGTCTACAATGTGTGTCTGGGAGACCTGGTGTTGTATAGTAAGTATGTATATATGTGTCTACAATGTCTGTCTGGGAGACCTGGTGTTGTATAGTAAGTATGTATATATGTGTCTACAATGTCTGTCTGGGAGACCTGGTGTTGTATAGTAAGTATGTATATATGTGTCTACAATGTCTGTCTGGGAGACCTGGTGTTGTATAGTAAGTATGTATATGTGTCTACAGTGTCTGTCTGGGAGACCTGGTGTTGTATAGTAAGTATGTATATGTGTCTACAATGTCTGTCTGGGAGACCTGGTGTTGTATAGTAAGTATGTATATATGTGTCTACAATGTCTGTCTGGGAGACCTGGTGTTGTATAGTAAGTATGTATATGTGTCTACAATGTCTGTCTGGGAGACCTGGTATTGTATAGTAAGTAATATTTATGTAATAAACCATAATACTGGATTACAAGGAATTTAGACGAGAGGAAGAGTTCCACAATACATAGCTATATGTAAAGCCTAAAATTCAATGGAAATAAAGAAAAACATGCGGATTTATACTTCCACAATAAAAAGTATTTTTCAAGAGAAGATAGTTAGGGTCCTTGAAAATGCGTTGCTGTGGTATCATTTTTAGAAAAAAATTATGATGGCCTCAAGATGTTTTTTGTTTTTTTAACTTTGGACTTTCCTCGGCAAGTTCCTGTACATTTCTGTTTCGTATGACATATTAATGTTTTTACCATATTTTCAGTCCAATGGATATCATGGGAAGATCCAGTAGAGTGTCTTATGCAGCAGCTTTTGGGGCCACAGCGTCTTTGTGTTCTAGTGTTATTTTCGAACAAAAATATGCAGTGGAGTTGGGTGGAGCTTCATTTGTTAAAGGTAGTAAAAGAAATGGTTTAGACTTAGTACCATCAGTCACAAGTTTTACGTATTCGCGACAATTTATGTTTGCGTTATTTTTCTACTCGCGAAAGTTGCGAAAAAAAATCGCTCGCGAAAATTAGTTGGTTTACAGTATATATCTGACCAACTTGCGTTGAGATAATATTTGTAAATAGATGGTATATTATTATTGTTAATACTAGTAATCTGGTTTGTTGGGACATTTCCTAAAATGATGATGGTATATTATTATGGTTAATACTAGTAATCTGGTTTGTTGGGACATTTCCTCCATTCTTTGATAACAGATTTGGATAACCAATTCCATACTAATACTAGTAAGGAGATGATTGAAAGAGACAACTCTCCATTAGAAACCACATGACTTGGATGTAAAACGCCAGTAGGTCACAGTACGGCCTTTGCCAATGAGTAGAACCCATACCGTATAGCTAGCTATAAAAGGTCCAATCATGACAAATGACCAATTGAATGTGGTGGAATTATACATTTTTGTGAGTGATCAACCCTCCCACAACCTATGACAGTTGTGTAATACCACAACATACGAATCAACTATGAAAGTCAGTTGGAAATGGTCTGCCTCACCAGATCGACACACAAACAACATAAACCCAACAGAAAAAAGATGTAAATATCGATATAAGAGTACAGCTAGTTCAAAGCCAATTTCAAGTAATAAAAAATAAAAATAAAAAAGCTTGTCTATCTGTTCATTTACCTATCATTTACTGAGCTTATTATGATCAGATGTTGTCGAATGGACCTAGTAGTGGTGACAAATTGTTATCAGACAAACAGTATGGCTGCCATTATGAATTCAACGCATAAAGTTCTATATAGGATAGTTTATAATAAAAAATGTTCTTGTGAACAACTTTTTCATTTCAGTAAATATGGGTAAGTTTATTTAAAATGACTCATTCTGTGAAAAAGAACAATTTTATAAAAACATAAAATCTCGATGATTTGGTGTGTTATGTAAGGTTATAAGTTCATTATCTGAGAGTCTTAGTTTATTTTTTCCAGTGTTTGCTATACTGTTATCCATGCTGATTTATGGATTGGATTTCATGCCTTTGTTTACCGCAATTACTGCCAACTCATCACTAGGATTTGCAGTAGGCACTCTTTATGCCTGGGCTTTTACACTCATCAGTTTCTTCAGGAATTTTTACTGTGATAATTTAACCGTGGTAAGTTTTTGGCACGCCTTCGACAAAAGGGGAAAATTTCGTTCGTGTGAAGCGTTTTGCTGGATTAACCTTCATCAGGAACGATCAAAATTGAATATTTGAAAGATAGGAATGTATAAATACCTAACAGAAAAGATATATTAGTTTAATGTCATTTTTACCTGAGGGAGTTGGAATCTTCGTTTCTGATTAATTTTCAATTATCATCGGATAATTTATGAAAAATATGTTGTAAATCATGTCTTTACCGATGCACTGACTACTGAGATGATGATACACTCGGTGACAAGAACAATCCACGAGCAGACGTATCGACAATTTAAGTAAATGAAAATTATACTATATAAACATCTGCCTTTTTTCCAGTCAGCAGTGTTCATTATCATAGCTCGTAGTCTACCAGAGCTGCTGTGTCACTTGTACCTTTCTATAAGCTTACCTGTCAGATTTGTCCGATCACTTTGGAGAAAGAGACACCACCAGGACCTAGCAGTTGACTTTGAAGATGAAGACGATATATTTGATTCAATAAAGCGGTCATATCAAGGTTTACATGTCGTTAAGTTGTTTAAACCACCCAAAGCTGAACCACAGTAAGTAGCTTCATATTTGTCATTTGTGTATTGAACCCGTGCAGAACTTTTCTTTATTCTTTTTTAGTTAAATTAAGAAAAAAAAGAACACTTGAATAAATTAATCACTTTTCTTGATTTACCTTCATCATGAATTCTCAAAGCCGAATATTTGAAATATTTGAAAGCCAATGACGTATAATTACCGAACAAGTGATGCGATTTATCAAAAAGGATTTAAAATAATAGCTAAATCCATGCAAGGTACACTTTTCCATTTGCCAGTTTGAGAAATGTTTTTGCTGTTATTATTCATTCATTGCAGTTTGATAACTGACAGTATTTTTGGGATTTTGTTCGACCCAGATGAATTGTTCTACTGAGATTTATTATATACTAATTATAATACATACAAATGCACTAAAGTTTTACATGATTAAAACATTGTTATAATGCAGGAGCCTACAATGCAGTGGTTGCTGAAGAATACTGCCTATAAAATGTAATTGTTTATTGATTTTTGATATTGCATCATTCCGTTGGTTTTCTCGTTTGATAAGTTTAGCATTTTGTCATATCGATGCCTTTTAATGCTTACTTTTCAATTTGTGTTAAGCTCATTGTTGAAGGCCATACATTTACTTCATTTTGTCTCTGGTGAATGGTTGTTTCATTGGCAGTCATGTCACAACTTCTTATATTTATATTCAAGATAGACGAAAGATACTAAAGGGACATTCAAACTCGTAAGTCGAAAATAAACTGACAACGCCATGGCTAAAAACAAAAAAGACCAACTGACACACAATAGTACACAAAACACAACATAGAAAACTAAAGACTGAGCAACACGAACCCCAAAAACAACTTGGGGTGATCTCAGGTGCTCGGGAAGGGTAAGCAGATCCTGCTCAACATGTGGCACCCGTCGTGTTGCTCATGTAAGTACAAACCCGGTAATAAGTCTAAATCAGTAGGTCACATTCGGGGAAAAGGGGACGGGATTGTAGTTATGACATTTGGAACATATCCGTTGTCGTCTGTGAAAAGGATACCGGTATTCCATAACGGTCAACCAACTCGTGATGGCGTCCGTAAAATTTACGAAGGGATGATTTCAACTTCACCACTTGGAACCCTTGGTTAAATAGCTACCTTGTGAGCAGAAACCCTTTATCAAGGACATCATGATAGGAAATACAAGCACTTGAATATCAAATCAGCTGGGAGATATATACTTCGTATGCAGGTGCTGCTGGAATGTTGCTACATAGAAATGGAAAGTTCACAATTGGGAAGCTGAAATAATCTCTTTTGTTGTAAAGTTTTGTTTTCAACCGACCCTCATTGTGAATTTCTAGATGTAAGTCAAGATATGAGGCAGACTTAACTGTATCTGTTGTATCCTTTATCTCAAGTTTAATGGGATAGATGCGTTTAACATAATCACCAAATTTTTAATTATTTAATGCGAGAACATCATCTATATAGCGAAAAGTAAAGTTAAAGGATACTACTAACTTCTTTTCTTTCTTCCTAAGAAGTTTCTGTATGAAGTCAGCCTCATATAAATAAAGGAACAAGTCGGCAAGAAGAGGGGCACAGTTCGTTCCCATTGGAATGTCGATTGTTTGTTGAAAAACACGTCCTCCAAACGTAACAAATCTGTTGTCAATTAAGAAATCAAGTATCTTGATAATGTCAGTTTCAGAGAATTTTTTGTTTGAATCAGAGTGATTTTTACAAAGTAGGATTTATCCATCCCTAAGACAATATTCTAGTATCTACGTTGGCCATTCTTTTTTATGAAACAAAGCAGGACCAAATCTTTCAATATGTCTCTTAGTTTGGAATGGGGAATACTTGTGTATATGTAGAAAAGTCAAATGTTTTAATACTATTGCAACTGCCAAGAAGAAAGAGTCTTAGATTGTATGTACTCTGAAAGATCTTTGGAATTTTTCAGTAGCCATATCTGATTCACGCCACCTCTAGAATAGGTAGTTTCACAATGAATGTGAATCCCGGCTTTGATTGCTGATAAAATTGATGTAAATAATTAAGAAAGAGGTTTCGTGTAGCACTTTGAAGACCCAGCAATATACCGTTGTTTGTAAGGACACTTATATAGTTTAGATATCAAATAAAGTGATGGAAGATCCAGTTCTTCCTCTTTGGTTGAAATTCCAACGGGAACATAGAACAGACCTATGATTATCAAGGATTTCCTCTTGGTAATTAAGTGTCGTAGGGGTGTATTTTTAGTTTCCAAGTGAATTGTCAATACCTAATTCATTTATCAAGCAGTTTATGTAATGTGATTTACACACAAAAACGATGTTGTTTGGGGCTTTATCTGCGGGGACAACACCATATTTGTCATGGATCTAGGACAAGTGTAAATAAAATTAAGTAAGCCAAAATTCTATATATCTTCGTGCACGATTTGCATGTTTCCTCAAATATGAAAGGCTAGACTATAACATAATCGTCAAAAACAACAGGGAAAAAAAAGGAATGTCTCATTCTTCCTAGCATCTGAATACACCTCGTCTTTATATTTTTATACGACCGCAAAAAAATTTGGCGGTCGTATATTGGTATGACGTTGGCTTCGTCATCGTCCGCGTTGTCGTCGTCCGAAGACACATTATTTTTCGCACTCTAACTTTAGTTTAAGTGAATGGATCTCTTTGGAATTTTACCATAAGGTTCAATACTACAAAAGGAAGGTTGGGATTGATTTTGGGGGTTATGGTACCAACAGTTAAGGAAAAAGGGGCCAGAAATAAGCATTTATGTAACTTCCAGACATTACTTGTGTGTTAGTGTATGGATCTCTCTGACATTGTACCGCAAGGTTCCATATCTCAAAGGGAATGCTGGGATTGATTTTGGGGGTAATTGCCTCAAAATTTTAGGAATTCGGGGCCAAAAAAGGGGCAAAAAAGAGCATTTTTCTAGTTTCATGACACTAACTTGTGTGTAAGTGTATGGATCTTTCTGAAATTGTACTATAAGGTTTCATATCACAATGGGAAAGCTGGAATTGTGTTTGGGGTTAATTGCCCAAAACGTTTAGGAATAAGGGGCCAAAAAAGGGGCAAAAATAAGCATTTTTCTAGTTTCCAGACAATAACTTGTGTTCAAGTGTATGGATCTCTCTGAAATTGTACTGCAAGGTACCATACCACAAAAGGAAGGCTGGGATTGATTTTGTGGGTAAATGCCTCAAAATTTTAGGAATTAGGGGCTAAAAAGGGGCAAAAAACAAGCATTTTTCTAGCTTCAAGACAATAACTTGTGTATAAGTGTATGGATCTCTATGAAATTGTACTACAAGGTTCCTTATCACAAAGGGAAAGCTGGGTTTGGATTTAGGGGTAATTGCCCTTAACGTTTCGAAATTTGGGGCCAAAAAGGGACCAAAAAACAAGCATTATTCTAGTTTCCAGACAATTACTTGTGTTCAAGTGTACGGATCTCTCTGAAATGGTACTGCAAGGTACCATACTACAAAGGGAAGGCTGGGATTGAGTTAGGGTTGATGAATCATATGGGGATTCAAAAAATTGGGGGGGGGGGTTCCTTTTTTTCCTTTTTTTTTTCTTTAAAATTTTCCATTTTAAATTGGTTATTTCTGATTTATATATAAAAGCAAATAATAATGATATGGTTTGAATGGGTAAATTAAAAAAAATTAAGTTCTTAGACCACATTCATTCTGTGTCAGAAACCTATTCTGTGTCAAATATTTAATCAAAATCCTAATTCAGTGCTGTATCAAGCTTGAATGTTGTGTCCATACTTGCCCCAACTGTTCAGGGTTCGACCTCTGCAGTCGTATCAAGCTGCGCCCAGTGGAGCATTTTATTGTCTCATGTTTAGATATTACTTTGAGTTTTTAATATCTGAGTTGTTTCTAACAGCCATGGTCTTATCTATCTTTTGTCTTTAAAACTTTTGTAGAAATTTCACCATGTTTTTTTTTAAATTTTCCACATACTGTGCCAAGTTAAAAAGTAAAAAAAAAAAATAACAAAAATACCGAACTCCAAGGAAAATTCAAAACGGAAAGTCCCTTATCAAATAGCAAAATTAAAAGTTCAACCACATCAAACAAATGGAAAACAAATGTCATATTCCTGACTTGGTACAGGCATTTTCTTATGTAGAAAATGGTGTATTAAACCTGGTTCGTTATGAAGGGGGTTAAGTTTTCATTACTTGTTTTCCTCCCAAAAGAAAATCTACCTCAAATTAAATTTGAATACATGCTTTTTAAAAATGTCATATTTGTTGCTTTATATCATTCCAACTTCAATTGATATTTCTTGCAATTCTCATCCCAGGCCACCTTTTACTTTTATCTGAAACCCGTTCCACTTTACTTCCAAACACATTCAAAATTAATCTATATAAACTCATCATAGATACCAGGCTTAAAAATGAATTACTTTTTGGAATTTTTGGTCCTCAATGCTCTTCAACTTTGTACTTGTTTGGCTTTATAACTATTTAGATATGAGCGTCACTGATGAGTCTTATGAAGACGAAACGCGCGTCTGGCGTATTAAATTTTAATCCTGGTACCTTTGATAACTATTTACGTCAGACCTGCGTTTCGTCTTCAAAAGACTTATCAGTGACGCTCGATTCAAAATAATTAAGAAGGCCAAATACGAAGTTGACACGTAGTAGGATACAAATCATAGGTAGGATTGATAATACAATTAATACGTTTATCCAACAGGCAACCAAATGGTTTGAAAGACAAAATAATATCGATTTTTAAAGGAATTTACCATAAGGTAGTCTACTCACGACTTGAGGGTGAGTAATTTATCATTAATATAATATTTACATGAAAGTTGTTTTTCATTAAGACAAACATTGTGGTAAATTATGTAGTTAATACTTGAATGTGCTCTTCATTTGAGGGTTCAAAAAGTATCCAGCAATGACCAATCTTTGACAAAAGCATTATTCGTGATGGGCAAAACACTCTTGGTTTTTAATTTTATGTACATGACCACAACTTTATAACAAACATTAATTGAAATCGTAAATTTTAGTAAAAAGAAAGGCCCTCCCCTTTCTTCTTCACTGAAACTTGGAAAGATCATCAAGGGACCCCGATGGAGAATATAAATTTTATTGTTGAGGGTGGCAAACATGACGACCATGTTTCCGCAAATATATCTTTAAATAATATTTCTCCATTGTTTTCTCTCAAAAATCACTAAGGAATACCTCTTTTCATATTTACAGAAAAGATGATTGAGGTTGAACCCTCAATCAAGAATTTTTATTTAATACTGAAATGGAGTCTTACATAAAACAGAAACATAAAAATTCACACATCAATTTTTTTTCTCAGAAACTACATTACCAATCTAAAACACACAAGGTATAATGTAGTGAAGGTTATCACTTCGTAAAGACTTTAAAAAAGCATGACCAGAGTATCAAAATAACACTTGATTAATTTCATGTATACGAAGCGCTTTTCTGGATTTACCAGTAAAAATTCTTGAAACAACAGATCAGTCAATTTGGAAATTTCGTCTTCTCTTTATCCATTTTGTCAAATCTTTTCAGTTTATTAAATGTTAAGATGGAGACTCTTTCTAGTCTAAAACAACATATATATATATACAAGTCTAAATTGAAAACAACGTTCAAACCTATGATTGCGTTGGATAAAAACCGCAATTTTTATACGTGTGCATGTAAAACAAATTTCTTGTTAGAGGGGTCTAAATACAGCACAACAACATTTTCCAAATATATATATTGAGGTAAATTTTATGGCCTTCCAAATATTGTTTCGATCCCTAACATCACTGAAGAGACATTAATTGTCGAAATCTCGATATGGTGTACTAATTTTTGCACCTTTTGTATGCGGTATACCATCTTTTCCGCAAGTGTATTGTTTTCTGTTTGGTATTAAATTAATAATTTTTAAAGATCCATTTTGTTACATCTTGTGATCAGTTTATTTGGCAATCGCCTATGGCATTCATCAGGGTTTAAGAACATCAGTTGTTCGACCAGTCAGTCAAATGCGTTTTGTTGAAATATACTCTTTCACTTTTTTGGTCTTTTAGAAAATGTTGTTTGTGCTGTATTTAGACCCTTCTACCAAGAAATTTGTTTTGCATGCACATGTATAAAAATTGCGGTTTTTATCCAACGCAATCATAGGTTTGAACGTCGTTTTCAATTTAGACTTGTGTATATATATATATGTGTGTGTGTGTTTGTATTTGCTGAACAGTTATTAGACTGTCCGCTATGTATTACATCTGCAAGTTTGTTGTTTTCTTTAGTGCGTCCGAATAGTTTTCTAGATTAACCTTCAACCGAAATGCTCAAACCTAAACATTTGCACGCAGGAGATACGTAAATATGCAGCAGCGTTATGAGCTGTACGACCAAAAGGACCTAAACAGAATAGCTAAAGTAAACCTGAGAGAGCAAGTGGGAACCTTACTTTCTTAATTATTTCTTAATTCATGAACGGGGAATTTTGAATAATTATTTGATATAAATTATGTCAGTACCAAAGCACTGACTACTGTGCTGGGAACTAACAGTCCAATACTAGTAAATCAAATGAACATTGTAATGTACTTATCTGGAATTACCTTCATCAGAAATGCTCAAACCTAAATATTTGAAAGCCAAAAGAGGGGCGAAAGATACCAGAGGGACAGCTCCCTTATAGAACTAAAATGTTTGCAGCAAATTTGCAGCAGACTTGCTGCAAGTTTGCGGCAAATAAAAAGTTTGCAGGAAAACAGACAATAGTGTTTGCAGATGTTTGCCGCTAGCTGCAAATTTCCCGCAAACATTGCAGGTTTTTGCTGCAAACTTGCGGCAAGTTTGCAGAAACATCAATGTTTGCAGTAAGATTGCAAGAAAGTTAAGATAATATAGAATGTTTGCCGCAAGATTTCAGAAATCTTTGACAATTATATATGTTTGCCGCAAGTTTTCAGAAAACTTTGACCATTCTATAAGTTTGCCAGAACCAATGCAAGAATTACACAATATTGACTGGGCATGCCTAGTTGGTACTTCCTGGTAGCTAACAATTTGAAATTGTGGGCTAGGTCATGTTGATTGTGTTTGAGAAATGTTACATATAAGAGATCAAGGAGGCATTTTGGTTCAATAATATAGGATCATATAGGATATTCAATATGTAATTTTGTAAGTTCAAATTATTCATAGAACTTGTTAATAGAGTAACTAATGTCACCATCATACATAATTCAGTTAACAACTATTAATAGATGTGTTTGAAATACTGCAGCTATTATAAGTTTGAATTTTGTAACTGATTAAATGAACACTGTTTAACAAAGTTTATTTCAATTCTGTAATGCAGCAATTATTACCTAGCTTTATGCTCAAAACACATTTGAAGACTAGTTGGTATATGATAACATTTGAGAATAACCCCCATCAAAATGAAATGCATTTATGCATTTCCGTACATCTCAGATTAGTTTGCAAGTATTCTTTCAATGACTGTTTGTATATAGGCAGGAAGTTCTTTTTTAAAATTTGTATGTGTAATTTGAAAGAGAGATTGAATATGTCTACACACATGGCATAGTGTGTAGTTCCTGCAAGTTTGCCGCAAGTTTCCTGAAACAATTGCCGCAAGTTTGCTGCAAACAATTGCGGCAAGTTTGCTGCAAATCTAATTTGCATAATTATGTTTGCTGCAAGCTTGCAACAACCTTCATTTGCATGGTAAAATGGTTGCGGCAAGTTTGCAGCAAATGTTTGCTGCAAACTTGCGGCAATGTTTCCTGCTAGTTAGCTGCAAATGTTTGCCACAAGGCTTATTTTTCGGTAAGGGAGTCAAACTCGTAGATCGAAAATAAACAGATAAAGCCATGGCTAAAAAATAGAAAGACAAACAAACAAATAATAGTACACAAGACACAACATAGAAAACTAAAGACTAAGCAACACGAATCCCACCAACAACAGGGGGTGATCTCAGGTGCTTCCGAAGGCAGATCCTGCTCCACATGTGCACCTGTCGTGTTGCACATTTTATTACAAATCCGGTAAATAGTCTAATTCGATAGGTCATATTCGTGGTGAAAAAGGAAGTGGATTGTAATTACGACAGAAGGATGATATCCGATATCATCTGTGAAACGTTTATTCCATACCGGTCAACCAACTCATAATGGCGTCCGTAAAATTTACGGATGATTTCAACTTCACTATTTCACCAAAGATGCGTTAATACACTGCAAAGTTAGGAGCTATATGACAAAAAAAGACCTTAACAGAATAGCCAAATTAACATAAGGAGTTTGGTCCTTAGTTTCTTAATAATCTCATAATTTATGAACGAGGAATTTTGAATAAGCTTAGGAAATAAATCTTGTCAGTATCGAAGCACTGACTACTGAACTAATGATACTCTCGGGTACTAACAGTCCACCAGCAGCGGTATCGACCAAATGCTAGCAGATGAAATGATCACTTTATAAATATCTTGCGTCCTACACGCTTTTTTTCATATTTAGATTCATCAGGAACGACTAAACCTATTTGAAACATTTGAAAGTCAGGGATACTTAAGGAGCAAAGGGACCAAAAAGGACTTTAATAATAGCCAAATTTACCTAATTTTTGCATGAGGAAGTTGGAACCTTAGTTTCTTTATAATTTCTAAATTAATGAAAGGGGAATTTTAAATAAGAATATATTATAAATCATGTCAGAACCAAAGCACTGTATACTGAGCTGATGATAACCTCGATACCTAACAGTCCAACACAACTCTTTTCTCAAAATTTCTTCAAGAACGCTCAAAACTAATATTTGAAAGCCAAGGATGCACAAATACGCCGTAACGTTAGGAGCTAAACGATCAAAAATTAACTAAACAGAATAGACAAATTCATCTCAGGTCAACTTTGCCTGAGGGAGTTGGATCCCTTGTTTCTCACCTCATAATTTATGAACGGGGAATTTTGAATGAGCAATGTTATAACTCATGTTAGTACCAAAACACTGACTTCTGAGGTGATGATACATTTTTGGTATCAGTGGTATCAGGTGATGATACATTTTTGGTATCAGTGGTATCAGGTGATGATACATTTTTGGTATCAGTGGTATCAGGTGATGATACATTTTTGGTATCAGTGGTATCGAACCAGTGCTAGTAAAGGAAATTAACACGTATAAATTCTTGCGGAGCAAGGCTGATTGCAGAATATCTTAAGGGGGTTTAATAGGGTTTCAGAATGGCCATTGCTCCTGGTCTTTAAAGCTTTAAGCTGAGAAAATTCAATCTATTGCTTCTCAAATTACGTGATTTCTATAGATAACAAAGACTTTTGTTCAAGATAATATTTCTTAATATAGTGCTTTCTTAATTATTATGCTGTATTGAAAATTTCAGTTCAAAATTGTTTTTAACTTCATTCAAGATTACTCCTTTTTTAATTCTCATTTAACATGATGATTCCTGTGTTTCATAGATATTAAATATGAAGTATAAACCAATTTTGTTTGAGGTAAATTCAATTGTGTTAATTTTGAGAACACCATGTTAACATGACACTTGCAGGGGTACTGGAACTGGTTTAGATGAACACAATTAGTTTATTTTGAAATATTCCAGGATACTTGATATTTGTTTATGAAGTTGCTATCATATTAAAACAAATGTCTCCCAAGGTTAAATCGAGCAACCCAAAAAGTGTGCAACCCCATTGGTTATGATATTATTTTATTTTAATGATACAGATATTCCAATTTAAAAGAATATATCCTCGGAATAGATTTAATTATGAGATAGAACATAAATAAAGAAAAACCTGAAATATATATTGTACAAGGAACACAATATTTGAATACTGTTTTAGGAAAAGACCTTATAATAAGAGTAAACAGGGAAGAAAAGTAACATATACACGAAAGAAATCAAACAAATGTGGTTAGGGGATATAATACAATCGAATATGATCACTTTCAATTGTATTATATCCCCTAACCACATTTGTTTGATTTCTTTCGTGTATATGTTACTTTTCTTCCCTGTTTACTCTTATTATAAGGTCTTTTCCTAAGACAGTATTCATCATTCATTTTTTTTATACTTTATATATTCATCTTTGACATTACTGAAACCTATGTATTAGTATCCCACCTTCACGTTATTGTTATGAATTACTCTGATTTATCGTTGCATTTAGGTACAGATGTATAACTTATACAATATGATTTATTTCTTGACGTCTTGAAAAAAGTTTTACAATTAAGGAAGCTCGAGGGTACAAAAAAAAAATCAGCAAATATTTTAACATTTTTTTTCTCATTACAAATCTTATTTATTTCACAATTAGTTGTTACTTTATAATATTCTACAAAACTGGACCAAAAAAATCAATTCGTGTTGGCCCCAGATGACTTTTAAAATGTTTATATCATTGAAAAATCTCCAAATTATCTCCCTTTGATGGAAAAATGCCATTTTTTGGCATTAAAATTGAAATATCTTTTTTAAATCATCGGTGACCTATATTTTTTATTATTTTTTTAAAATAAGCTGTACTTAAACTAAACTATTGTAAAATTTAAGCGATTTCTGTAATTAAGTTCTTTTTTTATTTCGATATTACCTTTTTTCTCCTATTAGTTCAACAGAAATAAAGTACCTTAACAAAAATACATGCTTCTTTCGAAGGCAGATTGTGAGCTTAATTAAACGGCGACCCCATATTTTAATTTTATTTTTCTATTAAGTATAGGATAAAGTTTATTTATAGAAACAAATAGCGAAATCCTATATTAAAAAAAAACATATTGATTTTTACCCGCGAGCCCCCTTAAAAAAAAAGAAAGAAAAAAAAGAATATTATCTGAAAAATAGTTCGTTAAATAAAAGAGATTAATACTTTATTTTTTTCGACTGTTAGTTTGACATGCCAATTATGACGCAATGTCCATTACCGCTATCTCGTTTATCTCTCGTTTACTTGCAATTTATTCAGGATCTGTAATGCGTACATAACATTAAGGGAAAGAATGGAATGTAATATCGTTCAAGATTGAACATTTTAACTCATCATCAATATTGTATCATATTAAACAAAAAAATCTACATGAAATATTTCATATTTGATATAATTATATTTAGAAAGGGTGTAAATGTAATATTGTGTTTGTTTCAGATTTCAGATATTCCACCAGAATGTTGTCAGTTTCAGTTGTATCGTTTATTCTTATATATCAGGTAGGTGTCAGTTAATACAGGCATAAACAAAACTTGCCATTGGCAATATACTGCTTATTATAGTTAATAATTTCAATGATATTTTAATAATGTTTGCTTTTTATAGTTTTAACATGTTCGTCACTGTCCAGAATTTGTATTGAACGGTTGATTTTCTGCAGTCAGAATTATTTAGTGTTATCTTGTCTGTAATTACAGAATATAATTGTCATAATTCCGGTTCAATTACCGGATGAAAGGAAATATCGAATGTTTTGTTAATTATCTTGAATATCATTATATATTGAGATATACTGTAAACAGCAAAAATATCAAGCAAAGAAAGACCTACAAATAAGTTAACATGACCAATTGGCAATTGGAGTTATTGTCCTTTAAAATTATTTTCTGCAATTTATTGGTAATTTTTGTAAATCTTTTAAAAAATCTTTTGCTTTTAATTTAACTACTGGGACAAATTAAAGCAAACTTGGCCTCAGTCATTATTAAGGTATCTATATGACTTTAACCTTATTTTACATGATTTCCAAAACCACAGTAGATACAGGTGAGCGACACAGGCTCTTGAGAGCCTCTAGTTATCTAATATTTCTTTCTTTGTTTTGTCCATCATTCTTTATTTTTTATTTTGCTCCATTTCTATTTATTCTTTTTTTTTTCTTTTGTCCATTATTTTCTATTCTGTAAACCCCATCCAGACTCTTATAACGTACAATTCAATTAAAACATGTGACTTTGACTTAACATTGAGTAACTTTAGTTAAAATTTTATTTCAAGTAAGTATCTCTAGAAACCTGTACTATAATGTACTCAGAATGATTTTATTGTTTATTGAATATTTCAGGTATACGTTGAATTGTTAGTTACTATCATTGGTTTGGTGGACATTTTTTTCACATTTATGGTCTTTGTTATAGACACGACTGACGATGATTTAAAATGGGTTATAGGATTGACATTTTATGTTGTTAATTCTGTTTATAGTAAGTATATAGATGTGTGTGGGTTATGCGATTTCAATTTTTACAGTATAAAATACCTTATTATAGAGTCATTGTCCTTACATGGCGAATTACACAAAAACTTTAAGCGTTATTGATGACTTATTCACCAATTTATCTTAATTTTATCTTATTTTAAATATCTTATAACCTCTTATAACCCATTGTTTTTCAAATAAACAATGGGTTATAAATATAGCATTTTAGAATTTGGAAAATAGATTAACATAACGAAATTACCCCGCTGGTGGCTTTTTCGTGGTCATTACATGTTGTAAACTTTATAACTGTAACGTGTACATTTGAGCAACATCTTAAAACTAATACTATGCGAAACATCAGAAAAATTTCCCTCTTCATTTTTATGTAAAAAATGAAAATAACTATTCATAAATTATATGCGTCCGAAGCGTTTTTCTGGATTTACATTCATCAAGAAATCTTAAAGCCATATAATTGAAAGCCAAGGATTTATAAGTACCTTAACATGTGAAGTGCTATATAACCAAAAGGACATAGAAATAACAGCCAAATCCATCTGGTTTATTCAAGAGTCATTGAACATTGCATATGATGTATATTTTTCTACAATTTGCAGAGATATAGACGAATTTTCTTCGCTTATTCGAAGAACAAAGGGATTTCTGAGTTGTTTTCTAAACGGTTGTTATATGAGCCCATGTGAACTTATGCCATCACTTGGCGTCCGTCGTCTGTCGTCGTCATCGTCTGTCGTCGTAAACTATTTCAAAAATCTTCTCCTCTGAAACTACTGGGCCAAATACCTTCAAACTTCAACTAAATGTTCCTTAGGGTATCTAGTTTATAAATTATATCCGAAGTTTTGATCCATCGACAAACATGGCCGCCATGGCTAAAAATAGAACATAGGGGTCAAATGCAGTTTTTGGCTTATATCTCAAAAACTAAAGCTTTTAGAGCAAATTTGACAGAGTAAAATTGTTCAATTGGTCAAGATCTATCAGCTCTGGAATTTTCAGACGAATCGAACAACACATTGTTGGGTTGCTGTCACCGAATTGGTAGTTTTAACAAAATTTTGCAGTTTTTGTTATTATTTTGAATATTATTATAGATATATATAAACTGTAAACAGCAATAATGTTCAGCAAAGTAAGATCTACAAAAAAGTTATTATGACCATAATTGTCAATTGACCCCTTAAGGAGTTATTGCCCTTTAAAGACAATTTTACACAATTTGTTCATCAAGTTTGCTAACATTTAAAAATCTTCTCCTCTAAAATACAGGTGAGTAATTCAGGCTCTTGAGAGCCTCTTGTTATATATAATGTTTGTAAAGTTAGAGATGTCTCAAAGGGAAATTTGGAGTGTGCAGAAGATTTCCATGATGATTCTCAAAGGAATGAACAAAACGTGAAAGACGTCAGGCTTACACTTAAATACTACAGACGCGCGATTTATCTACATCAAAATCATCAGTGGCACTCGAATCAAAAGTTGAAAGGCCAAATTAATATTGATTTTGAATCTCTAAACATTGAAGGAAAGGACTCAACTTTTGAAAAGTGTTAAATTACGACCAATTCCTATTATAACAATAGAAACCATTGCGATTCCTGCGAAGTGTAAAATGTTTATGATACAAATGACTGTAGTGATGGTAAACAAATTCTAAATAGTTGATATTGGTCATCTAAAGAGAATTAGTGAATTAATAACTAAGCTGATATGACTTAAAGACCAAGTTCTAAGCATGGAATTTCAGAAATACCCTTACCTGAATTCATAGCATTTTGGCTAGGGAGGACACAAGCGTATTGCTTCATTCAAGGCCAGTTACTTTTTGGAATTTGTGACCTTCAATACTCTAAGACTTCAACTTTTTACTTCTCGATAAACATTTGCGAATGGTAAATAATAGTATATAGTTATCAAAGGTACCAGGATTATAATTAAATACGCCAGACGCACGTTTCCTTTAATATATCCCCCAGAACTAGAAATCAAAGAAACAACAGACACGGCTTCCTCTGCCTCATTTTTAGACTTATACCTCAAATTTGACATACACAGTCATCTCAGTACCAGAATCTATGACAAAAGAGACGATTTTAATTTTGAAATTATCAATTTCCCCCACCTTAGTAGCAATATACCAACTTCACCTGCATATGGGATATACATTTCCCAACTTATTCAATATTCAAGAGCTTGCAGCTCCTACTCAGACTTTGTTAAAACGTCACCAGTGTCTGAGTAGAAAGTTGATGAACCAGAGGTATGTCAAAGAACGTTTCGTCCTTTTTCTAAAAAAAGTTCATCGGAAGGTACCAAGACCTTGTTGATAAATATTCCGTATCAACTTCAAAAATAATACATGATGGTCTTGATGTATAAATTCTGTATACTGACGTTGCTTATCATCTTAATAACGTATGATATTGTTCTTTTTTTTTTGTCTTTGTTCTATGATTAATATCACTTTTACTGCTTGGTCTGTTTTCTGCGATATCTATTTGACGTGGCTCGGTACTTAAACATCCCGTCAATGTGTTTGTATTATCTTTCATTTTTGTTGGTGTGTTTTGTACGCGTGACTTTATGTGTTTCTTTGGTATATATATGACGTGGCTCTGTACTTTCAAAGATCCCACCATTTTATTGTTCTATTATAATAACATTATGTTATTGTTCTATTATAATTTTGAAAATACTTTGAACGACAAAATTATTTTACTCGCGTTATGGTATTAACCAAATGTGGATTCTTAAAAATTCTAAAGAACTTCTGGATAATTTCAAGTTTTGGTCTTTTTCTGAAATAAGTTCTAACAAAAACTTTTGATTTTCAACCCTGTATACAACCATTCCCCATGTGAAATTATAATTTTGAAAATACTTTGAACAGCGCAAAATTATTTTATATTTCTTTCTGTGTGACGTTTACATTTTCTGGCGTCAAACATTGTTAAATTTGATAGATGCTTTATGTGCTTCTTTGTTAAATGTTTGTTTGTTTTGAGATTGTGACACAGTGATGACTGCTGTACCCATATTTTGACATATGTTACCTATTATGTCTGTTTTTGTTCACGCATCGTTGTAAATATAATGGAATTTGATGCGACTGTCATACAAGTGAGAGGTTTAGCGCTATAAAACCAGGTTCAATCCACCATTTTCTACATAAGAAAATGCCTGTACCAAGTCAGGAATATGACAGTTGTTATCCATTCGTTTTATGTGTTTGTTTTTTTGATTTTGCCATTTGATTGGGGACTTTCCTTTTTGAATTTACCTCGGAGTTCAGTATTTTTGTGATTTTACTTTTTTCTACATAAGACTCATCAGTGACGCTCAGATCAAAATAGTTATAAAGCCAAACAAGTACAAAGTTGAAGAGCATTGATGACCCAAAATACCAAAAAGTTGTGCCAAATACAGCTAAGGTAATCTATATCTGCTATGTGAGTTCATAGAAGATAGACAGAATCATTCAAGATGGTTGAAAATTAAAAATTCACGATTCGAAGATTTCAGGACTATTATGTATCATTAGATGACTTAAAGAGCTAAAATGTTGCCATTATACAAAAAAACAATGGGATGAGATGTCATTAATTATGACAGAAGCTTTCATATATGTGCGTAAAAGAACAGAAGGCTGATTGGAATGAATTAAAACTGGAGTAGCTGGATTATTTCAAATTGAAAACAACGGAAATATGTTCCTTTTAATTATTTAGACTTAATTTACCGAAATATTTTCATTTGGAAACATATGGACCTGCGGAATTTTGCTTATTTGTTGCTTGAAGCGTGCTTAAATCTTTTTTGCTTAAAGACTCAAAAAAATATTGAGTTTTTGGAAAGTATTTTAGGGAAAGTTAAAAACAACTTGCATTCCGACGTATTATTTAAACTCATTGCCCTAAGAAAAGAATATATATTTACACCTTAAAAGTGTACAAAACAACACCGATATTGAAAAGGAAACAGAAACTACAAGTATTGATAATCATTTCTGATAACAGATATCCTTCATCTGTATGATGTAACATAAATTTTATCAATCTATTCTGATTTTACTTAAACAATCTTGTACCCTATATGCAAGTAAAGACCGAACTATGCTTGTATAATTCTAAAATTTCAAAGTTCACGCAATTTGATTTCATCCAAAATGAAACTAACACATCCAGCTGCGGTGGTAAGCACTGCACAATTTGAACTTCTATTTTAGTGAAAAACATCAATTAATCACTGTTACGTGTGACTGAATTGTATCTAGTAACTTCTGTCTTGAGCATACCTGATGAACGGTATTCCAGTCTAAAAATCTGTTTCATGCGAACTGAAATTGGTATCATGCAGTTGTTTTGGCTCATATTTGGGAAAGTATCTGATCTGTACAAAAAAATGTCGCACTGTTTTAGTTTCAGAATTTTTTTTTTATTTCAGTTAGCTTAATCGTATCCTTGACTATTAGCTTTGTCGTGGGTGTAATAATGATTGTTCATACCCTAGCGTCTTACAGGTAAGAGGAAAAAAACTTTACTTAATCTTATAATATAGCAATTTTGACAGAATTTAGAATCACAAATAAAGTGAACAATCTTGCTCTACGAGAAATATATGATTCCTGACAAAAAACTCTGAATAGATTCATTATAATGACAACACTATCAATTAAGGCGTCTGAAGCTCTTTTCAGAATTTATGAATAATTGATTACTTGAGGAACTATATGACACCAAAAGACATAAAATGATAGCCAAATACACCTAGGTAACCTCTCTGAGGGAGTTTTAACCTTAGTTTTTTTTTTGTTGCTTTTTCTGTGAACTAAGTTTTAAAAGGGTGTGTTAAGTGAATTAAACGACCTCTAAAAAAGAGCTGTGTTAAAATATGTCAACTTTATAACTTCCTATATCTGCATTTACTTCCTATATCTGTATACACTACTTATTTTATATGAAAAAATGTAGCGAAGTTTTACTAAATGTTTACTTGCTTGGGCAACACGACTTGTGACATATGTGAAGCAAGAACTGCTTTCACTTCCGGAGCACCTGAGTTTACACCCAGTTTTAGGTGGGGTTTGTTTTGATAAGTCTTTAGTTATCTATGTTAAGTCTGTTATTGTTGTTTGTTCTTCCGTCGTTTTAAGTTTTGACATGGTATTGTCTGTATTTATTGGACATGATTCGTTTCAAGTTTTGACATGGTATTGTTTTTTTTTACATGGTTGTTTGTTCTTCCGTTGTTTTAAGTTTTGACTGTTTTTTTTTACATGATTTCCAAACGCCTCCTAGATATCTTTTCTCTCGTTTTAAGAAGCTAAAGTGGTACGCTATATGAAAGCTTGGAAAATTAATTACATTCTTTAGTAAACTCCTTTTTCACTTTAAATCCATTGGATGTGTATTGATTGATATTAGTTGTTGTTTGTCTTTGAACTTGCTTGCAGTAAATAAATTTTTCATAGATACCAGAATTAAAATTTTGTACGATATATGCGCGTTTCGGTTACAAAAGACTCATCAGTGACTCTCAAATGAAACAGTTAAAAATGCCAAGTAAAGTACGTAGTTGAAGAGCGTTGAGGACCCAAAATTCCAAAAGGTTTTGCCAAATACAGTATCTGCGAGTAATCTCAAATCGGTACTTTGTGTAGTTGTTTTTTTATTAATGCCGATCAAATGAGTCAACCCATTTCTGACTGATTTTTACAGTATGTTCTTATGTTGTGCTGGTACATCATTGTCTCAGGTTAGAGGAGGGTTGAGTGCTTATCAACATGTTTAAACTCGTCACATTCTGTATGTGCCTGTCCCAAGTCATGAGTCAGTAATTCAGTGGTTGTCGTTGGATGTTGTCTGTTATATCTGTTTTCCTTTTTGTTTTGTTTTAAATCAGTACATCGGTTTTTCGATTGAATTGTTTCACATTTTGTCAGGTAGGGGCCTATTATAGCTGATTATACGATATGAATTTTGCTCATGGTAGAAGGCCGTACGGTGACCTGTATGGCATAGCGTAAATCCTATTTATATTGACATTATTGAATAGTTGTCTCATTGGAATTTAAACCACATCTCCCTATTTTATATCTAGCTTATCTAAAGCATGCTATGCGTTTTTCAAATACTAATATTAATTTCCATCATAAGTTCTCAAAACAAAATACTGGAACTCCCGAAAAGTTTAAACTTTGAAAGCTCTACTATAAGAGAAAATGGGGGGATCCAAATAACGGGCGTATTGTGGCAATCTGTTGTCTGTTAGTCCCTCGAAAGGTTGTTGTACAAATCTGAATCGCATATATATAAGTGCATGAATATTGATTATTATAGGACTTTGCTGTTGGGCTTATATAAAGGTGACAATGGTCATTTGACCCCGAAAGAAGAAAAATCGAACTCAACTCTGTTGGTAAGTAAAATCTGTATACATTTATACTTTCAGTTTTTTTAAAATAAAGGCTTTTCGTTTTATGAGTCAAAAATTATATTAAATAATCCAATATATAAGCTGTGTTTTCTGACATCAACGGCATGTTTCATGATTAGATAAGAATCTATGAGTACGATTAGGTTATATATTTGTTGCTTCAAATTATCATAAAACTGAGGTTAGGTGCGTGTGGCTGTTCATTTCATCTCAACTTGACCTTATGGAATAATACTTAACATATTACTTTAAGATCTACTGCTTAATCTTCGATCACAATCTTTGCAATTTTGCAGCAACATAAAGACTTTTGATTTTTCTACGCTTTACACTACTATTCCCCATACTCAGTTGAAAGATCGACTTCACCATCTCATTAAACAGAGCTTTTTCTATAAAAATGGGAATCGTACATACAAATTTCTTGTTTGGGTTACAATAATTCACATTTTGTGAAGAACTACACTGAATCTATCAGAAAATATACTGAAGATGATATTATCAAAATGCTGGACTTTTTGATCGACAATATATTTGTTGAGTTTGGAGGATTTATATTTAAACAGACAGTCGGTATTCCAATGGGTACTAATTGTGCACCCCTACTGGCCGATTTGTTTTTGTACTTGTATGAAGCATAATTCATTCAGAACCTTCTAAAAGACAAAAAGAAAAAGCACCTTGCGAAATTCTTTAATTTTACTTTCCGATATATTGATGATGTCCTATCATTGAATAACCCATATTGCAGCCAATACTTACATCTAATATATCCCAGTGAACTTGAAATTAAGGATACTACTGACACTAGCAGGACTGCTTCATACCTTGATCTTTTCCTCAATATTGACACAGAGGGAAGACTTTACACGAAAATCTATGATAAACGGGACGATTTAAACTTCCCAATTATCAATTTCTCATTTCTCAGCAGTAAGATACCCTCTGCCCCTTCGTATGGTGCTTACATATCTCAGTTGACACGTTATGCTCGTGCATGTTCACACTATACGGACTTCATATACAGGAGTGTGCTCCTAACGCAGAAACTGCTACAACAAAGTTATGAGGAGGAAAAATTAAAAATGACACTCCGTAAATTTTACGGACACCATCACGAATTGGTCGATCCATACGATGTGTCTTTGTCCAAACTAACTAAGGACATTTTTACCACGTGTTAGATTGTGGTTTGACATTCACTACAAACCAGTAAAAGTCTGAAATGGCCTATATCTGTACTCGACTGTACTGATTTTGACTCGACCAGTCTGAATTGGTCTGAAATTTACTTGATATTACTCGACTGTAGTCTGAACCATACTTAACAGTCTGAACTTGTACTCGACCTTTACTCGACTAGTACTTAACCATTTTATACGAGTCTGAACCATACTCGACATAGTCTTAACCATTCTCGACCAAGTCTGAACCATGCTCGACCTAGTCTGAACGATACTCGACCAAGTCTTTACCAGCCTAGACATATTTTTTGTATCTATCTATAGTATTTCATCAATTTAGGAACTGTTATACATATATATATATATATATATATACAATGTATATCAAATTTAAAATTAAAATAAAACAAGGTAATCAAATTTCTGGTTGGATTAAAAAAATATCATGTAATAAATTAAGTTTTCGTTAAATGAATTTTTATATACATGATATCATGTTCACATTGCTTTTTGTACATCAAAAATACTAGAACTTTCAACCATTATTCAAATATCTTAAATGTTATTCAAATTTTTATTTATCAAAATATATATAAAATAGTAATAAATGTTAAAATTGACACCTTTGTTTTGTAAAACCAAGAATTTAATATAATAATAATAAAACTTTCATAGCAATCCTTGCTAACCTTTTAAAAAAGGAAATGCATTCCAAAATTGCAGTAGAAATTTATTTTAATTAAATTTAAATAGGTTTTGTCAAAATTAAAGACATGGCATACAAGCATGACAAGAAGCACTTTAATAAGGTTTAATTACCTTAGTAGTAGTACAGGTGTGTTTTACAGGTAAAAAGAAAACCCTATTTTCCTTAAACTCGTGTATTACTTATCTAGTGAATTCAAAAGGCCTTGTTATTTAAGTTTTACTGGATGTTGTAATTTTCAATGGATGTTATTTAAAATTTATTACTCTCTGACCAGGTGTGATCTTTTTAATCAGTGTGCCCCAAGCAGGATGTATTACTTTATAGTTTACCCCTAATCATTTCTTAAATTTTTTATCCCTTTTTAAAATATATATATATCCCAAATTATAAATAGGAATAGATATATTTCTGATATAAGGTTAAACAATGTCAGTGATTTTGTTGGCTGTTGTTACCTCATTATTGTATGTAACCATGAAACCTAAGTTGTTTTTATTTAGGAATTTAGGAAAATCAAGTTTTGTTTAAAAAAAAAACACATGCCAAACAAAAAGAACCTTAATAAGGTTTTATTATCCTCAGTATAGGTGTGGTTTTCAGGTAAAAGAAAGTATTTTTATTTAACAAGACTCAGACTTTAAAATTTGATAATTTAACTATCTCGATTTGATAAATCTAAGAGAATCATGTAAGGATGTAAAAATCTGTTTTTATATATATCTTTATTTTATTGTGGCTGTTATCATGTAAGTTAAAAAAGTTATTTTAACAATCAAAATTATAAAAAGTAGAGGTTATTTGGTCAAGAATGGTTCATACTGGTAGAGTATTGTTCAGACTGAAAAAATAGGTCGAGACCTGGTCAAGTATTGGTCGAGTACAGGTCGAGAATGGCTTAAGACTGTTTCAGACTGGTCGAGTAATAGTTGAGACTATTTTCAATAGCAAAGATAAGGGTTAAGTACAAATCAGTACAGTTGAGTATGGTTAAGACTGGGTCGAGTAATATCAAGTAAAATTCAGACCAATTCAGATTGGTCGAGTAAAAATCATTACAGTCGAGAACAGATATAGGCCATTTCAGACTTTTACTGGTTTGTAGTGATTACGTCGTCTAATCTTTTAATTACCGAACTTGACTTATTCCCGATTGTGACTGTTTTGCTGAGTGTGAATTCGCATTGCTATAAGATGTGTCACGGTACTTTTCTATCCAAAATTCATGTATTTAGTTTTGATGTTATATTTATCATTCTCATCGGATTTTGTCAAATGTCTTATCGTTTGTAGTTGTAAATCTTATTTTTTTCTGTTGTATTCGTGTGTTATGGCAAAGATAATGAATCACCTAGTTCATTAATTAGATTTTAGTTTGGGTCAACTAAATTTATACGATATATTTGGTTTACTGTTTGATTTCGAAGAAACGCCGACATAGCTATATAATACTATTAACTTTCTAATTACTACCACATTTTATATTAATTAGTATTGTAATTTTCATTGTTATTAATAAATGTTATATGAGTATTATAAACCAAATCTTGAATTCGATCCTAATTCTATCCTATTTTGGGGAAATTTCAGAAATTCAAATGTGACGTCACTTTTTTGCGTTGAACTCTTTGGCTAACTCGGCTGTGAATTTTATGTGCTGGTTTATGTTGTTTTATGTATCCGTTTTTATTCTGTAGTTAGTCACCACTTCGGTGTTATCATGTATATCTATTATATAGTCATTTTTATAAATTTACTGTTTGCAAAAGTATGAATTATTCTAAATACTAAGGATTTTCTTATCCCAGACATATAACCTTAGCCGTATTTGGCACAACGTTTTGGAACTTTTGGTCCTCAATGCTCTTTAACTTTGTACTTGTTTTGGCTTTCATACTTTTTTTATCTGAGCACCACTGGTTAGTCATGTGTGGACGAAACGCGCGTCTTGCTTATTAAATTTTAAACCTGGTACCTTTTGTTAGCTATTATTCGTATGTTTCTCTGTCCTATATGTTCTCCCATTTATTTGTATTGTAGTCCTGTCATGTAATGTTGTCATTTTAATGTTATGTTTAACATTGCCATAAAAGCGGGAGGTTTGGCTAGCCATAAAACCAGGTTCAACCCACCATTTTTTTCTTAAAATGTCCTGTACCAAGTCAGGAAAATGGCCATTGTTATATTATAGTTCGTTTCTGTGTTTTACATTATAATGTTGTGTTTCTGTTGTGTCATAGTTCTCCTCTTATATTTGATATGTTTCCCCTCAGTTTTAGTTTGTAACCCGGATTTGTTTTTTTCTCAATGGATTTATGAATTTCGAACAGCAGTATACTACTGTTGCCTTTATTTTATATAGCATTATAAATCCCCTTTCAACAACTTTATTAGGTTTGCATAAGGGACCATTAGGAAAGCAAAGTTTCTTCTGTTTCAGAAACAACCGAACTTTTTTTAATTTTATCCCGATCGATTTATTACTGATTGATATATAATTAAATATTTGCTCATAAATATGCATGAAATATTTACTGCTGGAAGTTTCACACAACAACGGTCAAATAATTCTTTCATTAAAAGTAAAAGTAATTGTCGATGTTCAAACACAGACAACATGGATGACACCCTCACAGACTTTTAGTATTGGTTTCGCCCAAGTTGTAGTAAATCGAAGTAAACATACCTAATTTACTGTATTCGATAACTATTTCCTGATTCATTGTCATCAGAAACGATGTGAGCTAAACTTTTCAACAGTCAAAGATGTGTATTTTGTAGATATTTAATCACCAAGTATAGCCCCACTATTTAATGTCATCATAACCTGAAATAGTTGTCATCTTCGAAGTTGAAAAAATTACTCATTTACGAAATTATAAAAGTGTACATAATACATTACTAGTAATGATAAAAGAATGATACAACCATACATGTAGTTGTGTAAAGTAAAAACAGTTATTCTCTAATATGCACTTTCTTTATATATATGCGTTAAATTTCTTTTTTTCACTTTTAACGTTATGCTGTCTTTTTTGTCTTTCTAGATTGGTAGTATGCGATATGCTGGTTACCAGGTAGCATATGTAGCTTGGGGTATGATTTACTCGCTTGTGATACTACATCATTTCTACAAATATTGCTGTAAAAAAAAACCATTTAGATAAATATTCGAACTTTATAAGATTGGTTGGCACCTTTTCCCCCTATGTATTAGATATCACTTATCGGATTTATGTACAAAACAATAAACGAAAAAAAACCAAAAACAAACATGATATACAGCAACTAACGACAACCAATGACTACAGGTTCCTGGCTTGGGACAGGCACATGTGGAGGGGTTAAACCTATTAGCAGGAATTAAACCCACCCTTTACGTGTGGTGCAACAGAATAAAACCAAGAAAAAAGTAAAATAACAAAAATACCAAACTCCAAGGAAAATTCAAAACGGAAAGTCCTTTGGCAAATGGCAAAATCAAAAGAACAAACTGTTAAAGCAATAACGAAAAACGTGAATGGAAACAGCAACAAACGACAATCGTCAGTTGGTTGTTTGGTGCTGCATTGTGATGTTAGATTATCTATTATCTTACTGAGATGTAAATGTTAATCTTACCGATGTCTTGACTTACTTTGTACGACTTATATGATTTAAGCTGTATACAGTTTGATGTTGATTTTTATAATGACAATATGTATCGCTATTTCTGAAAATAGGTTATTTTATCCAGTTCCTGCTACTTTTTATTGTGGCTATAGTACTAGCAGTTATTATTATTCTGGTTATAAATGGTTTTCATGGTTGGCTAGTTACTACTCTGCATAATGTTTGGTAAGTTAACTTTCACAGTTCATTCAGGTATATTTCTTAAAAAATGACGTGTGCAAGATTTCGTATTCTCTAAATTTAATGTTAATCGGAATGAACTTTACTTTACACAAATAAACACAAGTTGAATGAAAACTTTAGATAACTAGATAGAAACTTTAGTATTGTTTAAAAGATATGTAATATATGTCCTCATATATAAGTTTTTAGTTGTTCCATTATAAAACTGCTGTTCCCCATAAATATCAATTTAGCTGACTTCATGTACATTCTATCAAGTTCAATTGTTCAAACTTTTACAGCGTTTAGAACTAAATACATCAATATTGAACAAAGTATTTGTCGTTGTATACTTCTTCTTCTTTGTAATTTTATACGACTGCAAAAAAAATTTGCGGTCGTATATTGGTATGACGTTGGCGTCGTTGTCGTCGTCCGAAGACACATTGGTTTTCGTACTCCAACTTTAGTTTAAGTGAATGGATCGCTATGAAATTTTACCATAAGGTTCAATACCACAAAAGGAAGGTTAGGATTGATTTGAGGGGTTATGGTACCAACAGTTAAGGAAATAGGGGCCCAAAAGGGGCCAAAAATAAGCATTTTTGTAACTTCCAGACATAACTTGTGTGTTAGTGTATGGATCTCTCTGACATTGTACCACAAGGTTCCATATCACAAAGGAAATGCTGGGATTGATTTTGGGGGTAATTGCCTCAAAATTTTAGGAATTAGGGGCCAAAAAAGGGGGAAAAAACAAGCATTTTTCTAGTTTCGGGACAATAACTTGTGTGTAAGTGTATGGATCTTTATGAAATTGTACTACAAGGTTCCATATCAGAAAGGGAAAGCTGGGTTTGAGTTTGGGGGTAATTGCCTGAAACGTTTAGGAATTTGGGGCCAAAAAGGGATCAAAGAACAAGCATTTTTCTAGTTTCCAGACAATAACTTGTGTTCATGTGTATGGATCTCTCTGAAATTGTACTGCAAGGTACCATACCACAAAGGGAAGGCAGGGATTGAGTTTGGGGGTGATGAATCATAAGGGGGTTAAAAAAATTGGGGGGCGGGATTTTTTTTCCCATTTTTTTCTTTAAAATTTTCCATTTTAAATTGGTTATTTCTGATTTATATTTAAAAGCAAATAATAATGATATGGTTTGAATAGGTAAATTAAAACTTTTTAAGTTCTTAGACCACATTCATTCTGTGTCAGAAACCTATGCTGTGTCAAATGTTTAATCACAATCCAAATTCAGAGCTGTATCAAGCTTGAATGTTGTGTCCATATTTGCCCCAACTGTTCAGGGTTCGACCTCTGCAGTCGTATCAAGCTGCGCCCAGCGGAGCATTTTATTATGTTTATTTATTTCAGGCCAGTTTTATTATCCTCGTTAGTGGTTAATATAATACAAAAACTTATGTGTACCTTTGCATTTTTACAACAAAGAGGAAAGGTACTAGCAATAGATAATAGGTAGGTCATGTTCGTGTTATGAATTATTTCTTCTATTTTAAATAATATGAACGGTTAATTTTCCTGCGCCAATTACGAATTTCGAAAATTAATGTCTCTTCAGTTATGTTAGAGGCTTAACCATTTGCAAATACAAAACATAAAACAAGAATACAAGAGTTGAAGAGATGATAAACACAACAGGAACAAACACGGACAAGGATTTAGAGCTGTTCATGAGGAAGATCATTCCTTTATTCAAAATCATTTGCGAAATTTTATTACAGCATTTTTATATAAACAATATCAGTAACTACATGCCATTATCAAGTAACAGATAATCAAACTCTAAAAGTAACATAAGTACGATAAGGATTCCGAAGAAAATTTTCTATTATCTTAGTAGGAAAAATTTTGTAAGAATGATCAAATTCATTCTGTTCTCTGTAGGAAATACAGTTTATACATTTTTAACTTGGTAAAGCAAAATGTTTCAAATGAGTAATAGATTGTCTAAAATGAACTGTCATTTTCAATTGATTTTTTTAATAACACCATTTTAAATTCCACAGATATATATTAAATCATGTATATTATTTAAGATATGAACTCGAGTCTTAATTTGTTGTATTACTTTTTTAAATGACAAAGGCTGGTCTTTTTGTATTTTCATTTCTTCAATTACTATTTATTGTGAGTAATACATATTTTGTTTTTCTTTCAGACGAGTGTTTTTTATAGTAGTTTACTTCATGTTTTTCTACAACATATTTCTTGGTTTGGTGTCTTGTTTATTGAGAATTATAAAAGCCATGGGATTAGGTGCTTTATTTCTGCCTCGGCTGGATCATAGCACACTTCCTAGAAAGTTTCAGTGGTTTGACCCAGGTACACTTCATAATGTTATTTAAATGAATCACAATGAGAATACTAATGTTAAGAACTTAAATTGAAAATTTTTAGCGTTAGTATAAAAGGGTATTTGCAAGTGGTAAATTAGGGATAAATTCAAACTCAAACAGTAGCTTACCGATGTTCAAATGTCATAAATCAGTACATAAACATTTTTCTTAACTTGACAAAAAAGTAAAAAAACAAAAATACCGAACTCCAAGGAGATTCAAAACGGAAAGTCTTTTATCAAATGGCAAAATCAAAACCTCAAACACATCTAACGAATGGAAAACAACTGTCATATTCCTCACTTGATACAGGCATTTTCTTATGTAGAAAATGGTGGATTAAACCTGGTTCGTTCTGAAGGGGGGTAAGTTTTCATTACTTGTTTTCCTCCCAAAAGAAAATCTACCTCAAGTTAAATTTGAATACGTGCTGAAAATGTCATATTTGTCGCTTTTTATCATTCCAACTTAATCGATCCTTCTTGCAATTCTGATCCCAGGCCACTTTTTACTTTTATCTGAAACCCGTTCCACTTTACTTCCAAACACATTCAAAATTAATCTATATAAACTCATCATAGATACCAGGCTTAGATTTGGTTTACGTCAGACCTGTGTTTCGTCTTCATTTTTTATAGTTAGATAACTTCAGTTAAAATATTCTGTATCTATAAATTTTTTAGGTCACTTCTCACTAAATTATTCAAACGACTGTACATTTTTAAAAATATATATCGTTAGTCCCCATTTAAATGTAGTGATCGAACGACACGGCGGTTTATATGTAATAAAGTAAGTGCCCGTGGAATGAGAGACAATATACATACCATATCTGAAGTTTCAATTTGCCTCTTTTTTATGTTCACAGCTTATTAAATTGCAAATAACAGATACATTTTTATCACGCACAATGAAAATGAATGAACTTTTCTTTTGTTTGAAGCTATTCGTAGACATTTGGGTAAAGATATCGCTTAAATAGCTTCTCCAAAACAATTGTTTCTTCCTCGGAATGATTTGTACCGAAGCGGTCCGGTTTCATGTGATAAGAATTATTTCCCTTTTTGTGTATGACATGAGTGGTATGTTGGTGTAACTCATAAACCGCAATTTATAGAGATGTAAAATCTTTTGATATGGTGCATTTGGTGCATAAGTATCAAATTGAGGTTAAGGTCAGTGGTCGTGATGTTCTAAATTTTGAACTTTGATTGTTATCAGAAACTGTAAACGTTATCTACATGAAGTGTTAGTCAAAGTTGCGACATAATGCAACGCCTATACATTTGGGTCGACGTGCAATGGTGACTTTTGTAGGAGTTTTCTCCCCTTAAATATTCAACCTAAGTTGTTTGATGGGATTACTTTTTAACCATACATTTTATAAGATCCATAATCTTTGACCCTGAAAATGAGTAAAGTTCAAAGGTCAATTTGACATTCAAGATTTTGAGCTTTGTTTTTACTTCATATTGGTACATGATGGAGCCATTAATTATTTTGCTTTATGTTGGACAACACATGACCTTGAAACTTGTCAGCCGGGAGTGACATTTTTAAAACCAGAAGTAGCATATTTTGCGTTAATTTCATGTTAAAATAGCTAGAACCCATATATTTTTAGAATCAGCGTGAAATCGGAAGTAGCAAATTATCTGCCTTATTTCAAGCAAAAGTACATAGAAGGGGTAATACCACCATTGTATCACCCTGTAAGTCTTTCTTAAATTTGCCTTCGTTTTAAATCGCGAAGAAATTGTTTCAAATAAAGATACTTGGCATGCATAAAGTTTGATCTTGTTCAACAGTACACTGAACATTTCACACAACATGTCATTGTATATACGAACATATTTTTCACCGGAAGTTCACCTTTTTTCCTGTTTACAACCTTTATTAACAAAGTCACCTCAACTGTCCAACATATTTTTAGGAACAAATAAAAAGCAGGGCTCATTTCCTACAACTATCAGATTTAAGGTAATTAATGAGGTTTTTTTTCTATTTTAACATCAAATCGTACTTGACATACTAAATTTTTGTGGTAGTATACTCAGAAACCATATATTTTTTTTTAAATCAGTGTAATGTTAGCTATTATACAGCACCGGAAGTGGCATTTTGTACGTAGAAAGAAGCCATTTGTGTTCTCTCTCCCTAATTTAAAAGGGAAATATATAGAAACCATATTTTTTTGGCATCCGTGAAAAATCTGTTGACACCAGAAGTGATTCTTTGGAACTAAAAGTAGTCGATCATATCCTTATTTTACAGAAAACAACTACAAACTATATATTTTTAAACGAAGGTAATTGCAATAAAATAAAAATGCATTTCCGTATAAAACTTTTTTTAAACCGTAAATTATCAGTATGTTAGATGGAAAGACCTTACATTTTTCTATGAACAGTTGATTTTCAATTTTTGTTATCTTTTGTAATTGTTCAAAATATTATCAATTTTTTTTTCACTTAACAGTACATTGAATCACTGGTACTCGTTGTAAGAAATGTGTTTCAATTGTTTTGCTCCTAGTCTGGGAGGGGCCTAGATTGGGAGTTTAAATCATGTGTATTGGTCAGTTGTATATCGACGTTAAGAATATTATCGAACATTAGTATGCAATGTTTTACAAAAATGCTTGGCACTGAGGAACAGTTCAGTTTTTGGACCAGTTGTCATCTTAAAAAAAGTACATTTGTTTATTGCCTAAAGTGTAACTGTGGTACTGCCATTTAGCCTGTAGTGAAATGAAATATTATTTTTATTTTACTGAACTATAAAGTGTTCTAACAAAACAAATGGGTGTTAATTTTTCTTTCGTAGATACGAATATAATTTAAGCAATATGTATGTCAGTGTGTTATTCAAACGTCAATACGACAATGTTAAATACTAAAATACAATTGCATTTTTCTTGAAAACATGAAAAGACCATTCTTATTATTATTTTTAAATAGTATATCACATCATTTTAAGCAAATTTATTGTAACAAAATTATAAATATTCATAGCTGATGTTCATTATATATATATATAAGATTAACTATGTATAATACTTTCCCGAATTGCACTAGTGCAATATCGTTTGAACTGAATAGAGTTATTCTCATCTTGACATAACATAGTTCATCATGGTGTTCTTGACCATTTAAAAGATTTGCCATTTAATAAAAGAATGTAAACTTTTGCTCATTCAATAGTAAGTCACTCGCTGATCGAGCAATATTATATTCAACATTAGAAAATATTCCTAATATCAGAACAATAAGGCCACGCCAAATTAATACCTCGTTCGTCGGATTTCCCGCGTGTTGTGAAAGGTCGACCAGAAAAAAAGTATATTTTTTTTAAACCCGCGTCCGGTGCGGAGCCGCACGCGTCCGTCTCTAAATTTAGGAAACAAAAAATTTGATCAGTTGTGCGTTTGAAAGTAACGCCATACAGACATAGAAATTGACATTAAAAACGATCTAGATCTAACAGTCACAACGTTGTTGTTACAATATTATTGCCAAATTTAGTATTATAATCATTCTTAACGTAAGACATGAGTGGAATATTTGTAGTTACAGTGGTAACGCAGGCAAACACATCAGTAGAATATGATTTGGGAAATTCTTTTACCGATTTGTTGGAAGTGCTCCGTGCAAAAACATCAAACTACAAATTATTACGACCAAGGAAATATGACAGCAATTTTATGACCAGCTGCAACTACCATCCCTAAAAGATCGTCGAACCCAAAACAGATTTATCCTCTTCTGCAAAGGCATACACGGTCAAGCCAACTTACCCCCTGTTAATGATGATCTGATCAACTCAACCCGAGAAAAAAAACTAGGACAACCAAAAAAACATGCATTTATATGGCCAACATTTCATGAGACTGCAAAAAAAACCAGACACATTAAAATTCTGCTTCATACCAATACAATTAAAGATTGGAACCTACTACCACTGGATATTTTCACCAAGATTCAAACAGCAGAAGAACCAGCTAAAACTTTCAGTGATATTGTAAGGGGTGTCACACTAAGTGAATTACTTGACTCACGCTTGGTGTAGTAATATCCTTGAAGGATTCACTGTATACCTATCAAGATCAAACGACAAAACAACGATGTCACCGTATTGAAAGATTTAAATTGTGACAATATAACATGAATGAAAATAAAAGAGAATCCCAAATTGAAATGAAACTATTATATTGATTATTTTTTGTTTTTTAGAAGAAAGGTTTTTCCTTAAAAAATTTGAAATTTATTTATATTTGCTAGTATCATTACAAAGTTATATTAAAATAAAATTGAAAATGGAAAGGGGGATGTGTTAAAGAGACAACAAGCCTGAACACAGAGAAGAACACAGCTTAGGCCACCAATGGGTCTTCAACACACCGGGAAAACTGAATTTAACACATTAATCCGTCTTTACAATTTACAAAATCTTCTAAAAAAAAGAATTTGTATGCTTGTCAATGAGACAACCTTCAACCAGAAAACCAAATTTGTTGAGGTTTGCAACTAGTTCACGGTATGGCCTTCAACACAGAGCAATGTCCACATGCATATATTCATGTATATATACCCGGTATATAAATTTGATTATCATTAAATTCTACAGGAAAGCAATGACGTAAGTGGACTGTATTGAAATGTTCCTTTTGTTTAGTTAGTATATAACATCTGATGGGTTCATTTGAATGGTATAAATTGGTGTGGTTTAGAAGGACAGTCCTTTATTAATTTTCAGCTTGTTATATACAGAAATATTTTTGGTTGTATATACAACTTGAAGCTTTATTCATGCATTTATGCTTTGCATACGTTATTTAAAGCAACATACAATGCATCAATCATAATTTACATTAAACATCGATGCATGCCTGATCAAAGCTGTTGCACTTTTTCATGTTCAGCAGGATCATATTTATTTGATCAGACTACACAAAGTTGTAGGTTTTGCTAGAAATTAACCATTATATACTTTATTATCTATTATATCTTATATAAGATTAAACTGGATGTTAGAGAACAAATAAAGAAGCAAAGTAGGCTAATATAAGAACTAGGATGTGAGATATATAAAATATCAAGCACCAAAACTATGTAAATTTCTAATCGCTCGCTTGCTTAAAATTCTTTTCATAGATTTTTTTTTAAAAATATTTCAAAAATACCGCTCGCGAGTAAAAAATTCCTTCGCCTGCCAAAAATCAAATTTCAGAAAAAAAAACAAATAAAAAAATTTCGCTCTCTCGCTACCCTTTTACAAAGGAAAGAGTCCGAAGAACTAGAAATTAATTTGGTGTGGCCTAACCCTATTTTGTAGAAGTTTTAGCGAAATTTCTTGATACATTTTAATGTATATAATGGTTTGAGAGTTTGAAATTAATGGGTTTTTTCCAGGTTTTGATGCTTTTTGTGGTTTCATGCATGTCGAAAATGCTCACACTCATCCAGTAGTGTTAACATTTATAAGTCTAGTGCAGGCTGAAATCATAGAGAAGAAAAGGGCAGCACAAAATATTTCATTAGAAGGAGTAGAAAATGGTAAGATGACTCACTGTATAATCATATTTTATAGTATAAAATGGACAATAATAAGTTAACAAGCTGAAGTCACTTAATAGGCAATGATTTTTACGTATTTACACATTTTGCCATCATAATTCATATACTAGATAGCATTACTTTAACATTAAGTAAGCCTCGAACATGGAATGGTCATGTGATACTCAATGATGCATTTGTTACCCTTTTTATGCCAAAAAAATATGTTTGTTACCTTGAATGTCAAAGGTGCTTAAAACCTGCCTACCTTCGTAGGACAAGTATTTTATTGTGCAAGATCACAAGACCCGTAAAATTCTGTCGTATTTTTTAAAAGTCGTAAACTCTACGAACTAATATACGGAAAGATATAAATAACGCCAATTAAAGGGTCACAGAACCGCTAAGGGAGTTAACTCTTTAAAAATCAACTGAACGTATTAATCGCATATTATTAGTAAAGAGAAATCAAGCTTCTCAATGATCAAAATTAGTCTTTGTCAAACTGTTATATATCAATTGAATTTATTCGTGTAAATGTGTGGTTCCAATTTCTTGAATTTTTTATATTTTTGTCAACAGGTCAAAGCAAATATTTTGTCAAAATTTTATGAAAATTAAACGAGCCAAATCTTTTTTAGTCAAAGTGATGATTCTAGAATCATAATTTGATTAAGAACATGTCTATACATATGTGTTGCTATTGGTATTTGCTGTGCAAATTTAAAAACTATCTACAAATCTGGCTGTGAAATTAAAATTTCGCTGTGTATGTCTTAGCTTTATTTATTGTTGCATTTCAAGCACAATGTGAAAAGCAGAATACATGAATAAAATTTTCATGATTTTAGATAAAATGATAATTAATAAGTACTAATTTCTATGCAGGTACAATGATGCTCAAACCAAAGCGACCAATTAATACAGTCGCTAGGTTTAAATGGAAACTGGCATATACCTTAATAAAGAATCCGCAGTTATTTATACAACGAAAAGATGCAATGATGCAGATATTCAAACAGAGGGAAATCGAGGCAGAGGTGGATGATAAGAATATACATATTGAAATATTAGGTGCTAAGATGTAAATTTTTGCAAATTTATAGAGTGTTCGGTTTCAAAGACGAAAGCATACGTTGCTTATTTTTGAAATAGAACACATCAAGATTCACTCAGTTTAATTTTGACTGTTTGAGCAATAATATATTAGAAAATGTGGTATGATTCTCAATTAGAAAACTATCCACCATTTAACAAGTGACAGGATGTATGGATTCGCAACCAATGTTACTACCAATTTGAAAATATGTACATGAAGTTATTTGAAATTTACACATATAACCTTATAGCATATATTGTGAATTTAAAAAAAAATACATTACAACTAAGTTACTGTTTACTGTTAATGATAAGTTGTTGATTAATGTTTGGTGTGTAACTGTTGTTTTAAAATAAGGAAAGAAGAGAATGGGGTTATAAAGGATTTTTTTTCCAAGTAGCATATTGTAGTTCACAAGCTTTCGAGTTCAATATTTTACACTGAGAGGAAAATATGCAATAACCCTTTTGATAATAGTAAAGTACTAAATATATCAATACAATAATATACCATTACAGTGTAATTTTAAAGATTTAGGCACTTCGTTGAAATTCTTTCAAATTGTTTGGCAGCAACAGTAGTTGTATCACTCATTCTGTCATGATTTTCATTTGTTTGTTTTAAAGTGTAATAGCGATTCATTTGTTTTTACGTTTTTCAATTTCATATTATTACCAATAATGACGAAAAGTAAATCAATCTCCAAATATATATATAAGAAATCTACAGGAAAAAATTGGTAACACATTTTTATATAATATACTTTTTATTTAATTTTTTCGTATTTTATATACAAATTGACTTTTTGGATATTTTTACAAGAATATTTATGTTACCTTTTTACATTTTTAAATCGATTTCTTATCTTTGAAATTAGTTTTTTTTTCTCTTGATCAAATGAAATCCATAGTGACTTTTATATTTTTATATTACTAACAGTGTATATTACAATGAGTATACAATTGAACACGAATGTAATATATCGAACACACTTTTTATCATTTTTTAATTCATAGAGATTTATTTTTTTTTAAACAAATATTCCCTCACAATTTTAACTTTAAATGTTTTGTTGTGTCTATGATATTGTATCTATTTTCTCTCAAGTAAATGACAGATAATGTAGTTCAATGGTCGTAAAGTGTGAGGTTACTCAGACACCTACTTCTTGTTTTAGATACTTTGCATTACGAGCTGTGTTCTTAGCACGATGACGCGTACATTTTTGCAAAAGTTTCTGAATAAGTCAGTTGAAGTGGAAGCACCAATGATAAGTCGATGATAATTGGAAATTTGGAATTCACGTGTAATACCATTTTCATGGAAATTATTTGGTTCCTAAGCTCAATGGGGGTCAGTTGATTTTGCGCAGTTCAAGTTGCATGTTCAAATTTGTGATAAGGTCAGTTAAAGTGGAACCGCTAATGGGTAGTCAATGATATTTTGCATGCAAATGTGTAACAGTTAGCTCTTGTCATTTCCATGGAAATTATTTTGTCTTGGCCCACAGTTATGTATGGTGCATTAATTTCGAAACGTTACCATGGTTACGCAGTTTAAATTTTCAAAATTTGTTATTATGACAGTATTAAAGGAACGACTGGTGACAAATCAATGATGTTATTATGCAGTTGTATTGGCATCGGAATATTGCATTTCAAAGGATATTATTTAGCTCCGCCCCTGAGTAATTTGTGTATTGAGTTTTGAAATTTTGAATTTGAAACATTAGGTCAGATTATGTTTAAACATAATGGTAAGTCAATCTTTCCAGTGACACGTCTCAATTCCATGACAATTATCTGAGGTAATTTTAAGTGGAACCAATAAGTTACGTTGACTCGATGACATTTTGTATGCAGACATCTCAATCTATTTGATTTGATTTGACTTTTGGTGTTTTAACACCACTTTTAAGCACCGCTTTTGGGCTATTTCGTGGCGGCCAGTATTTATTTGTGGAAGAAGCCGGAGTGCCCGGAGAAAACCACCGACCTTCGATAGGAAAACTGACAATCCTAGTCAATTAAGATTGGAGTCGAGTGCACCCGCACGAGCGGGGTTCGAACTCACAACCTCAGTGTTGACTGGCTAGTGATTACAGTAGTAACTACTTAGACAACTCGGCCACCGAGGCCCCTCATCTCAATCGATATTATTTGGCCAGCCCCTCAGTCATGGTCCATTGACTTTGAAACTTTTGCATAGTTAACATGTTATAGTTTGTCATTAGGCAGATTTATATAATAATACATCAGAGTTAAGATGGGAATAAGGTTATAACTTGTGTATGATGATTATGATGGAAATTAGTCACGTGTTAGAGCATTTAAGTAAGACTTTTGTTTGCTTTTGAGTTTTATTGTACTTATTTCCTCTTTATTATATTGTATTGTACATATAGGCTACCATTTTAATTGGATAAAGTTTAACATTTGCATTTAACTGTCGAAATTATACACCGCGACCATCACTCTTTGTCAACAGTGTATTATCATTTATCTGCATATTTTCCAGCTTAAATTAAAATAAAATAAGTAAAGAATGTTTATGTTATTAATAAGATACTTATTTAAAAATTGTTTTAAAAATTTCGTTTAGGACTTTTTAGTCACATAAATTGACTAAGCTTTGGTTTTCTCGGACTTTTTCTCTCTGCTTTCGTGGAAAACATTGTTAATTGATGTAAATTAGTTTGTATATCAACTAGCTTTGATGAGGGTATAGCTTCACTTTTTGCACTATTTTAGATATTTGATGAAAATCTTTTACGCTGAAGATATTGACTAATTGCTACCTCATTTGTATTATTATTTTTTTAAATGTAACCTATAAATTTAGTGCGAGTAATTTATTTTGTTAAATTGCAAAAAAACTATGTGTATGTCTTCCGGTGTATGCTGTATTTAATGTTCATCTTATTCTTGTTGTTTTATATGCTTACCTTACAATAATAAAGACTAATTCTATAATGTAACGTTTTACTACTCTTATATTTAAATTTATTTTTCTATCAAAAGCTAATAGATTTGAAATGAAATGGTATTTTTGATCTGAATATGTCCAATGAAATGAATAAAAATATTATTTAATCGTGTCTTTATACATTTCAATGGCAGTCATTTAAGCATTGCTTAAACATTTCAATTACAGTCAATTCATCATTCATTAAATACTTCACTTGCAGTCAATTCAGCATTGCTTAAACACTTCACATGCTGTCAATTCAGCATTGTTTATTCACTTCACTTGCAGTCAATGCAGATTTGTTGCATCTATTTTCAATTCTACGGTATCTGTTTATTAACTTTACTAAACAAAAAAATCTGAGATTTGACTAAAAGATTTACTGAACTGATCTGGTATTCAACTTCTCATCACTGGATTGCATGAAAAAAGTAAAATAAAAATAATACCGAACCCCAAGGGAAATTCAAAACGGAAAATCCTTTATAAAATAAATGGCAAAATCAAAAGCTCAAACACTTCAAACGAATTGACAACAACTGTCATATTCCTGACTTGGTAGAGGCATTTCCTTGTGTAGAAAATGGTGGATTAAACCTGGTTTTATAGCTAGCTAAACCTCTCACTTGTATGACAGTCGCATAGAATTCCATGAAAGTGATTTAATAGATATGAATTGCATGAAAAGTAACTTAATTATCAGCTCTGAATTGCATGAAATTGTGACTTCATAGATCTGAATTGTAACGCAAAAGTTCTGAACTGCACGAAAGAACTAGAAACTTGACAGCTCTTGGTTGTATGAAAAGTAATTGTACAGTTCTGAATTGCATGAATTGTGATAACAAAAATACCGAACTCCAAGGAAAATTCGAAACGGAAAGTAACTTATCAAATGGCAAAATGAAAAGCTCAAACACATAGAGGAAAAGTCACTTATCCTTTTCTGAAAGAATCAGCGAGCATGCATTCAGAAGTGCAAGTGCCATGAATACACGGGTCCTAACTCTTTCAAGTGGCTTGTGATTGTCAGACTATTCTAGGGTTGTCGCAAAGTCTCCAAATATCCCTTGCAATGTTCAACCTCTTCAATCAAAGGGGTATCGCCGATGTGTTTCTGTGGTGCAACAGAGATTGCCTGAAAGCAATTCAGTTTTATATCAATGAAGACTTTCAAAAAATTATATAGCGTACAAATTTGAATTTAATTACAAAAGAGATTATTCAGCTTTTCAATCGTGAACTTTCCATTTCTTTGTAGCAGTATTCTATGCCACTGGATATAAATGTACATGTATATATTTCAGTTGATAAGTAATTCCAGACCTTGCGTTACCTATCATGATTCCCTTGATAGAGAGTTGTCTCTCACACAAAGGGCTGCTTTTGTTAAATTTAAATCCATCCCTACCTAAGTTTTACGGAATAAATTTATATGACCGTTACGGAATGAGTTTATATGACTGTTACGGAATATTTGCATCACAGATGACCACGGATAATTATGTTCCAATTGTCATTAACACTATCCCGTCATTTTTCGTCGTTTATGATCGAATGCGTCTTAATACAGAATGGTTTACTCTTTTGCTTGTCATGAGCAATACGACCGGTGCCACAAGTGGATCATGATCTGCTTTCCTTTCCGGGCCACCTGAGATCATCCCCAATATTTTGGTAGGGTTCTTGTTCCACAGCTTACAGTCTTCTAAGTTGTTTTTTTGTGCACTGGTTTTGTCTTTTGATAGTTTTTCTTCGCCTTATGATTTGTAATTTGTATTTTTATAGTTTTATATGTTTTTTGTACATTGATATGCAGGTTTCCCCATTCCTTTATACCGAACAGCAAGCTTTAAGTCCTCGAAAATACTATAGTTATTGCTTTTCAGCTCCATTAAATGCCCTTAATATATTTAGTTTATGGTAGTTGAAATGGATACGGTGATTACACACAGATATTTGATATGATATTATTTATAATAAGTTTGCATGTACCTGTGGTTTCATCGTCTATTATTCCGGTATTATTGTGTTAAATGCTTGTTGTGAACTTATAGTTGGTACGTTTTTCTGTTTGCCTTTTGTTATTCCAAATGACTTAGATTAAAAGGGAGAGGTTTGAGATCACAAAACATAGTTTAACCTCGCCACATGTGCCTTTATATGTCCCACTTTCAGCATTCTTGTCAGTTATTGTCTTTGGTTATGTCATATTGTCGTTATTTTATTGGGGGGATTTGGTAATACATAAAAAGGATAGTAGAACTTGTCAAAAATATCAGATACTACAACAGACTAATAAAGCCACCAACTCGAGAAAGCAGACACCTCAAACAAAAACGAACGACAATTGGTCCAGATAGGCAAGATTTTGGTCGGTTAAACCCGGTTTACTTGCAACTAAAAACGAAAAGCAAATGGTCCAGATAGTCTGACTTGTGTACAGGCGCAAAATTAAACCAGTTTAACGTGCGCAGAAACTCTCCATTTACCTATCTAGACCTACCCGGTATCTAGCTGTAAAAGTCAAACACACAATAACAAACCGGCACAGTTACTAACAGGATGACTATACTAACTAGAACAATGAAATCAAAGAGTATTTGACGGTGAATAATTTTCCTCGTCTTTTTCCACTCCCTCAGGTATTGTTGAACTTTCTATTTACACATGTGACGACAAAGGTAACGACTGTTCACTAAAAGAATATGTATTAAGAATTAAAATCAAAGCCATCTGCATCTACTCCCTGTCTAGTTCCCGCCTTAAATGCCTCAAGTGTGGGGACAACAGCTATGATATATGGTAGGTTATTCTAAATTCGAATAGCTGAGAGGAAGAAGTGGAACTGTTGTGTCTTAATCCTATAGTCAGGAATAATAAATCTCTCGTCGTTGTTGTAGTGTTTGCCATTTGAGTTAAGAGATCATTTTTGAAACAGTAATGTAATATGAGTAGTCACCATGTTCAAATCGAGCTGCTTTTGGCGGAACCTGCTCAAGTTTGTCTATGTTCAGTTTTGTGTGTGGGTCCCATATTGTTGCTGCATATTCTATTGAATATTTTTGAAAGAATGGATAAAATGTGCTCGCTCTTAGATGAGATTAGTTAAAGTAGCCATAGCTGTATGTTGAATACTGTCACTCAAGAAAGCAAAATCAGAAACAACACTCCTATCCGGTTTGTGAAGTCTTCTAACAGTATTTCCATTCCAGTGAGTAATGTATTTTTTCTTCACACTCGTGTGTTTATTCCATGGAAAATGAAACGAGAGTTTTATATTTTCATATTTACAGATAAGATCATGGAAACGGTTGTAAAAAAAGACTGTGGTATCTGTAATCCTGTAAAAGTAACGTTTGTGTTTAACCTTGGATTAATATACACGAATCCATTGGTCCTAGGTTAAATAAAGGTTAGGCCCAATCATTAAAGCTAGGTCCCAGGTTAAATAAAGGTTAGGATCAATCATTAAAGCTAGGTCCTAGGTTAAATAAAGGTTAGGCTCAATCATTAAAGCTAGGTCCTAGGTAAATAAAGCTACATGTGGAGCAGGATCTGCTGACCCTTCCGAAGCACTTGAGATCACCCCCAGTTTTTGGTGGGGTTCGTGTTGCTTAGTCTTTAGTTTTCTATGTTGTGTCTTCTGTACTATTATTTGTCTGTTTGTCTTTTTCATTTTTAGCCATGGCGTTGTCAGTTTATTTTCAATCTATGAGTTTGACTGTCCCTCTGGTATCGTTCGTCCCTCTTTTAAATAAAGGTTAGGCTCAATCATTTAAGCTAGGTCCTAGGTTAAATAAAAGTTAGGCTCAATCATTAAAGCTAGCTTCTTTGAATCATACTCAAGCCACCAACCTAAAGAAAAAGTATGAAATGTCTGTATCTCTGGAATTATAAATGCTAAGTATATCAATCTGCTTTATTCTGATTTTAATGGTAAAAATCCTAGGTTCCACGATTTCGAAACGCATACAATATTTCATCAAAATCAATTTATCGCAAAAATAACTTAACTACTTTGCCTAAATGTATTTCGATTTCTAATATTTTGAGCACTTTCATAGTAAAGTAGAAATGTTTACAGCAAACTCTACGATTTCAAATAATAATACTATAATTTTATGAATAACTCATATATGACTACTGCAGGCACTACGACTTTACGAGAGAGTGTGAAACATGTACAAGGCTGCCCACTTATATGTAGATCTGCTTAAAAAATAGTCAACAGAAGGTAGTATCACAAGAAGAAAAAGAAATATAAATAGCTTTATAACGTGTGTTATTTTTCAATTGTTAAAATATCAAGATTTGTGATGCATTATTCTATGAAATTCTCATTAATTGCAGTATTGTATATTGCAAGAACATTGGTTATTTTACTGTCAATTGCCAGTTTTATATGATGTCCATAGTAATTTTAATGGTGATGGAAAAGCGGTTGATTCAGATGATCCGCTGCCACCTACATTTACCGAGAAGGTATGGTGCAGTATGTATTTTCTGGGAAAAGAGAATGGGTCACAACAACCATAGTATACTGAACAAAGAGAAATTGATAGAATCTCTAGATTTTATAGAACAACTACAAATATTATGTACTTTAAATAACCTTACACACCATATTGTAATAGGTGGGAAAATATATTAAAACATAATTAATAAAAGTCGACGAGGGGGTGCTTAACGATCTAGACTACCCATGAGGGTCTTGCACGGTCGGTAATAAAATTAAATCAATACGCTATGAGGGCGTCTTAATGGAAGACTCTAGCCTACATACCATAAATTTAGAACGAACTGAAGGTTCTTCATGAGAGAAAAGAAATTTCTAAATGCTAGAACAAAGCATGATCAAATATTGTACAAGTTACGTGGTAAACAAAAAGGAAAAAAGGGACTTTCTAACTCCTGTATTTAAGAATAAAGTACAAAGACCGCCACAAATTATAGATGGATTAATGGTATGCCAATATTGTTGAAACTAATCGAATCAGCAGCAAAAACTAACGCCTGACTCAAAATATTGACAAAACAAAGCAGGCTTCAAAGAGGTTTTACTAAGAACTCAGCACCATTGAGCTGTTCCTTTATTATTGAAGAATTTGTTAGATAATGCAGA